GCGACTCCTGCGGCTCCTTCTGTGTGACCAAAATTTGTCTTCACTGAGCCTACATATATCGGCTCATCAGTTGGTGTTCGTGCCTGACCCAAAGTCATTCCGACAGCAGACAGCTCTATGGGATCCTATTCATCATCAAGTTAACAAACTGAGTACTCAAGTAGCAAGAAATAGGGCCTTTTTGCTTACCCCGACCGGGGTTCCAGTTCCATGGGCTTCAAAGTAAGAAGTGTCTCTCATTGAGATACCATGGCGTTCGTAAACCGAGCGAATCAAGTTCGCTTGAGACGTTGGACTGGGGAGGGTAATTCCAGGAGTACGACCATCCTGATTAATTCCTGTACCGCGGATGATGGCTCGAATATTATCTCCATCGGCCAATGCGGCGCTGAGGGGTTTCAAAAGCACAGCACCTATGCCCTCTCCCCGGCCATATCCATTTGCAGACTCATCAAATGAATGACTTATTCCATCTGCGCTCATCATGTGCATGTAGGAGAGTCTTTGTGTGAAATTAGGGTGCAAGATGAGACTAGCTCCAGTTACCAGGGCCTGCCACAAGCATGTTTAGTCCATGCTATAAACAGATATACAGGTTGCAGTACTCACCATTCCACATTCGCCAGATCGCAAGGATTGGGCTGCTAGATGGACTGCAGTCAAACTCGAGGAGCACGCTGTGTCCATCATGATACTAGGGCCTTGGAGATCAAAGAACCACGACAAACGATTAGCCAGCATAGTCCTTCCGTTGCCAGTAGCTGAGTTGTGAGGCATATCATAGATATCTCTTGTCGACAATAGCTCATAATCATTGGTCATTGAGCCGGAGTACACTGCTGTGTTACTCCCTGGAAGTGTGTCTATTGGTATTCCGCCTATTCCGCCCATTTTAGCTGGACTGGTTTTCGATCAGTTTTTGAATCTCGCTTGTCTTACTGTTTTCGAAGGTTTCATAGGCGACTTCAAGCAACAACCGCTGTGCTGGATCCATGCCCGCCGCCTCTTTGGCTGTGATAGAGAAAAAAGGAGCATCAAATCGTGAGGGATCTTCCTGCAAGAAGAATCCACTATCATGATTGATCTAATCTCATGACCTTGATGTTAGAATAGTACACCAACTTCTAATTGGGGTGTTCATACCGCTCCTTTGCGTTCATGGCTAGGGTGATGCCAGGCCGAAGCTTCATATCGGCTCGTGGGAACCGTTCCATGTCCAGTACGCCCATCGCACAGCATCTGCCAGAAGTTCTCAACAGATGTCGCTCCTCCAGAAAAGCGACACCCCATTCCAATTACTGCAATTCCCTCCATATCTGTAGGGGCAGAAGTAGTCGTTGGTCGGCCAGGCATCTTGTGGGTATAGAATGGCTGAGGATAAGTTTAGACAAGATCATGGAGCAGGGGCGCTGTGGGGTATTATACTAAATGCTGTGCATTCCAGGTTCGGCAAGTCCCCGTCCTGATTGCAGACCATCAAACGGGCTATGAATCCTGGACGCTAGTGCCATTAACACGTAAAGTGTCGCATATTCACATGCATATTTTACTGGCTATCCAAGCGGAGAACATGCAGTGGAGACCGGGACTAATTGAAAAGCGATATGAATGATGTATGAAGTACGGAGTACATCAATTGACATCCTTTGGTGCTTGGCTTGCTGAAACCAAGCTCCCTACTCCGTACTCTAGAAGCGAACATCTGGAACATGGATCTGGCTAACGTACTCCGTAGTTGGATCTCAATTCGTGCAGCTCCGATGCTAAACTCAGTTCCATCATCATTTTCTCTAGTTTGCGTCTACTTGGATGCCCCTGAGGTGAAGAATACGGGAATGGTATCAAGTGGAGACTGTCTATTCTATCGATCAACGAACTGGATCGTCAATACCTCAAGATGGACCTGATGTACATGTAAATTGTACTGTGACACCTAGTTACCAGTATCGGTCACTGTATTTCAAGATTGCCAATCTTCCATACTCCATCGACCCGCACGGTCTGCCCCACTATATTATAGCACTAGGCCAATGTCCGTACTCGAAGATTGCCTATCAAGATTTCTTTTCTGGCCTTTTTTTTAATGAGGGGATTCCTATCCCGCAGTGGATAAACCACTCTCCACTCCTAGCCCCCTATTTGAGACAAGCTCCACTTTTCGGACTTGCGTTTCCCTTACTCCGTACTCCGTACATGGATGTATTTTGGAGAATACCACTCTTTCCCTGTGGGCTATCTGGAGGGCTACCTAGTTCTTCCGCCGTTATCCTCGTGTTGCAATCTCACACCAGTGATATTTGGCAGTGGTAACTGGGTGACTATTACTGGCATCGCCTGGGATAGCGGATCTCAATTTCACGATCTTCTGGGCTGCGGAGCACATTTACAGTAGTAATTGACTTTATTGAAGCTACTAACGCCTGCTTGCCTCCACTCCACGCAGATCACCTGCAATATATGGAGCACATTTTCACTTGCAGTACTCTGCAGTCTACGCTAGATAGCTAGATTATCGCGCGGCAAAAAAGAAAACCGTGCTTTGTCTGAGCTCTTCAATAGTTCGATCTCGCTCGCAACCCTAGATCACTCTACGGAGTAATTCCAAGCCACATACGGAGAATTCCCGTGAGATGATGTTCATCTCTTTCGTACCCCCTAATTTGCCATTTAAACGAGCTATCTGAAGACGTTCAAGCAATACCCCACCTCTCTCGCACATTTTATTTCCCCCTGTGTCGCGACATCTGTTAAGAATGACTACCCAGAGCGCCATTATCGTCCAAGAAGCTGGCCGCGCGACGCTAGCAGAAGGTGTCCCGCTCCCCGAGTTGCCGGATAATTACATTCTCGTCAAAACAAAAGCTGGTATTTTCTCCTGGTGCTCTTCTTCGCCCCTGCCATTCATAAGCAGTTGGACTAACACAGTCCGAAGTCGCTTTGAATCCAACAGACTGGCGTCATATTGATTTTGTACCCTGCACTGGGGCTACCGTGGGCTGTGACTATTCGGGAATAGTAGAAGCCGTGGGGCCGCGCGTGAAAAAGGCATTCAAAAAAGGCGATCGAGTTGCTGGATTTGTACACGGTAGCAATGCCGTTCGCCACAATGGCGGTGCATTTGCTCAGTATGTGATTGCGAAGGGCGACCTCCAGATATTGATACCCGAGTCCATGAGCTTTGAGGCGGCAGCCACCTTTGGTGTGGGTTTGACAACTGTTGGTCAGAATCTTTACCAGAGCATGGAGTTGCCTTTCCCTGGCGACCAGGAGAGTGAATCAAACGACACAAACATCCTAATCTATGGAGGCGCAACGGCCACCGGCACGCTTGCGATTCAACTGGCAAAGTTATCGGGACTGCGCGTGGTCACAACATGCTCTGAAGCCAACCGCAGCTTCATGTTTGAGCTTGGAGCAGACGCAGTTTTTGATTACCACGACCCACTAGTGGGCGAACAGATCCGAGAGGATACTGATGATGCTCTCGAATTTGTCCTTGATACAATCTCTACGCCCCAATCGGCTGCCATCTGCAGTGCTGCCATTTCGTCAGCGGGCGGTTCCTATAATGCCCTGCTGGATGTGCCATCAGCAAGAGATGACGTTGATTCACATGTCTCAATGGCGTACGATGTCCTGGGCGAGCCTTACCGCATGGGTATGAACGAGGTATCTCCTGATAGCACTAACTTTGAATTCGGCATCAAATGGTGGGAATTGGCGCAAAAGCTACTTGAGGAGCGCCGAATTCATCCTCATCCGTATCAGGTGAAGCCAGGTGGTTTGGCTGGAGTGTTGGCTGGTCTCCAGCTATTACGGGAAGGTAAAGTCCGAGCCTCCAAGCTAGTCTACCGAGTCGATGAAACGGAGTAAAATGTTAAGAAAACGAAAAAAGCGAAGAACTTCTTGACTTTTGGCTTTCTATCGAGTTTCAATAAGATGTTTGATCTTCTATGGGGACAACAATAAATGTATAACATGTACAAGACCCAATCAGGAGAGGAAGCTCACCATTTCCATCTTTGCGACGGGCTTACGTATACTTCATTTCCAGATTGGGTCTTATATGCGGACCGAAATCCATCATAGTACAGCGGGTCCTATATTTTTAATGAGTTATATCCGTTGCACAGGGTGCACTTGTGATTGATAACTTGATCTGTTCTATACCTAGGAAATTGGTTACTATACGTAAAAGAAGGGATCATATACTAAGTATTATATCAATTAAAATATCTATATAATTAGTTATCTCTTTATATTAAATATATATATATTTAATGCTTTAGTGGCATATAAATTTGGGGTTGAAATTGATTATATATGTTTCCCGGAGTGCGGGTAAAATCCGATTTTCGCAGGGCTTAGCCTCATAGGCTGTAAGCAACAGCCCCGACATAAATGACTGTTTGCTCCGATAGTGATAAAATGGCTTTTGTGAAACGCTGTCACGCAAGCAGAGAAACAGTAACCAACATAGAGCGTCAAGAAATTTTGTTAAAAAAAGGTCTGGTCAAGTAGTTCGGAAGCTTTACCCGCAAGTGGAATCTTGGAAGGCGTTTAAGAGCGGAGGCAGCGAGATCTTCTAGGGTGAGGGTCCACATCAGATCGAACAAAGAAGAGCTCCAAAACCTGTGAAAACATTTGTAAAAAAAAAATTCAGTTTAATTTATGTAGAGGTGTTGTAGAGCAATTGCCGACAAAGCCATCAATTAGCGTGACCTGCCATCGAAAATAAACCCCTAAAAAGGGCAAAACTCCTCAAAGATTCAAATTAGGATGCAAAGGGTCATGCAAGAGAGGACCTGATCGTTAACCAGAACCAGACCGACAATTATCTAACCACATTGTTCCGTCTGACCACCGGTGACGGGTCAACGGCTTCTACTTAAACCAATCACCCCAGCCTCACCACGTCTCGTCATTTATTTCCTCCTTCCCCCTACTTCTGGTTGATCAACTCACCCATTACTCTGCCTCTAACTATTAATTACACCGGAATGCGTTTGGTTCCTGCTCTCTTCGCGATTGCAACAACTGCCACTGCAGTATCTCCTGGCACGGTTCCCCCGGAGCTGACAGTCATCGGCGAGCCATCGACCCTTTTGAATGTGACATACTCTACAGAATCTTTCCGAAGTCAGCTTCAAGCCCGGTAATTTCCTCAATGCAATAGGTATGCAAAAGAAACCTCCAAAATGCCTCGATAGTCTACCGATTCAAACTGACTGTGAGTTTCCAATTCTAGTCTCCAAGGATGAACCACAGCCCCACCTGGATGACTTGGGATTGAACAGAACCGATCGCTACCTTCTGCTAATGGTTGACCTCGACTGGAACAAAACTAGTCCCCCATCGGTAATTGTGCACACCGTCGTCGCCAACCTGACCACGAATATCAACAGTACTAGCAAGGCAAACATCATCGCGACGTACATTGCTCCCCAGCCAAAGTCAGGAACACACAATTACACATTATTCCTCTTCAAACAGCCGTCCAATTTTAGTATACCTGTCCACTATGAGTCCTTCATGGAGACGACCGATCAAACCCTGTTCAACCGATTGAACCTACCGCTAGAGAGTTTCATCAATCAGACTGGCCTCGGACCACCGGCAGCAGCCAATTACTTCCGTGTTACGGCAAGCAACGGGACCAGTACTGACACCGCCACCACCACCACCACCACCACCGGCAGGGTCGCTAGCAGCACTTTCAGTGGGACATCCATCAAGATGGTGGCTAGAAATTATCTTGCGGGTGCACTGGCCTAGTGGGAGCAGCTTTTATTGCTGCTTAGGTCGGTCTTCGCTTGTTCTCAAACAAAGTTTGCAGCAGAGTTGTTTGGATCTCACCTACAGTTCACTTAGGGAGTACCAGAGCCGTGGTTACATTCAGTCATTTGATGCTCATCTAGCGTCGTTGAATTTCATCCAATAGCCCCACATCGCTCAGCTTGTACCAACTAGCGGTGGTGCTATCACCTTCGCGGCTCTTGCCGATAAATATGGGCCACCCGAGGTGGACGTGTGCCGCCTCGCCCGCCACGCAATGATCAGAGTATTCGAGGAACCTCGCGATAATGAGGTCGTCCACACGTAAGGCAGCATACTGGAAGCGGAGATTGGAGAGCGCGACAATTTTGAATATGTTGATATTGTTGGATGCACGGGAGATGGATGAGGTGGCGGACTTTGCTACAAGTGCAGATGCGCGATTTACAAGGCTTAGGGCGGAGGCTGATTGGGAGTTCGTTGGCATGGTGGACGCTATCTTGGAGGGGTAATCTAAGTTGAATTTTTCTCCCTATTTATCGCTGTCCAATGGTATAGCTGAATGGACGGTCGTTAGTGGTGAGTTGTGAGACCTGACAACGGTCTGCAGGGGCCCGTGGGGGCCGTTGGGGGCCTAGGCTAGGCTTATTTGGCTAAGCTTTGCATACAACGCCATCATCACTAGTTAGAATCCCGGTTCTTGCAATTTATAAAAAGAGGGGGTTTCTCTTGCTTCCTCTCACTTTGATGATGGACCGTCTAGATTTATCGTGTGCATAGTGAATCTCCAATTATAGAGCCCCGTCTTCTAGCCCAAGATGACAGATAATGCAACGACCCCAGGTTGGTACCAATCCAACGTAACAACCGTCGACCCCGATGCCCGATCACTTCTAGAGGAATACAGTGGCCTCCAACCCGACGAGGTCCTGTCCCATGTTCTCGCCCTAGTAAGTTCGCCTCCTGCGGGCGTAGAAGAGCCATAATCCGGCAATAGACTAATGCACTAGGAAAACCAATCAGCGAGATGAAGCTTTCAAAATTTTCCCTTACCCCTGCATCGGGCAAATGCGGTTTTTGAGCTGCCACCTCGCGCGCCTTCCATTCTATCCACGTGTTCTCGCTCGCCTCCAGGCTGACGCCTCTGCAGGATTCCTTGATGCAGGATGCTGCGTCGGTCAGGAGCTTCGCTACTTGGTACATCGTGCCAAGATCCCAGCTCGGAGCCTGTATGGGTTTGATCTAGAAACCGGCTTTTTTGATCTCGGATATAAACTTTTCCGAGATGATGCTACTAAATTTCCAGCGACTCTGCTGCCAGCAGATCTGGTGACTAAGGATTCTGAATGGGAATCATCCCCGGTTGTAAATACTATGCGGGGGAAGATTGATGTGGTGTGGGCAGGCTCACTGCTGCATTTCTGGGATTTTGAGGGCCAGGTTCAGTCAATTCTTCGGTTGATTGGGCTGTGTCGTGAGGGGGAGGGAGTGATTGTATGTGGAAGGCAAATGGGTAGTTTGTTGGCTGGGGAGTATACAATGACCGGGTTACTGGAAACGAATCACTATCGGCATAATGTCGAGAGTTTGAAGGGCTTGTGGTTCGAGATCCAACAGAGGACAGGACAAAAGTGGGAAATCGAGGGGAGTTTGGAGGTCGGTGAGACGACGACCAAGATGCAGGGAATGAGTTTTGTGGACTCGAATGTGAGAGTCATCTGGTGGTGTGCCACTAGATTGTCCTAGTCACTCGCGGATTTTCTATACATCTTACTGCGCGTCCATTGTCAGCTATATTGAAAAATAGTCAGCCTTTTGCGCCATATCTTTCTCGCTTGTAAAAGGTAATTTGATGGCCTCGGGAATACCACTTTATTCAATATAAGCTCGCCTGTACGAACGATAACCGGAACCTGCATATATCTAAGAGTTGACACGAGTGTAGCAGTCAAAGCACTGGATGCGAGAAAAGGCCTAAAAAAGACATCTTGGGCCTGTGTTGGGTATATTCAGTGCATTACTGACTCTTCACATTCTATTTAAATACTCACAAATCCCTTAATGTAATACATGACTAGTCCTGCATCCAACCCTCCAGAATCCCATCCATCATTTCACCCTTCAGCAAGCTCTCGTATACCATACTTACTGAGCTTCCAATACTCTTTTTCCCTTTGTGGGAAGCCCCTTCTGAGCGTTATATAAAGGATCGTCTTGGAGCCCACAGTTCATAGGGATGTTCAGATTCGAGCGTACCCAGGTATAGATTTGCGCAGTCCCCCTACCAAGCTGTGCGGTCACCTGCTCGGGGGAAATAGTCGGGCCGGGATAAAACATTTCCTCTGCTGTGCTGGACACGACGCTCTCAAATTTCTTCTTAAACGCGATGATAGTGGAAACTGAACAATCAGGGTTGTGAGTTGCCACGAATACGTTCACTGACGACATAACAGCATCAACAACAGATAAGACACGGTCTTTCCAAGTATTGGAATTAGCGCGATACCAGCTCGACTGGACAATGGGCAGAAGTGACGCGCATAGCGTCTCAACCTGCGAACCCTCCAATCCGAGTCCATACAAGGCTCCGCTTGGGGTGAAGTCTTCCATCTTGGTGCGAAGTGTTAAAAGGAATCGATTGTGGTTTGCTCTGATTTCGACACCCTGACATGAGACATATATATGGCAAGCACTCATATGTGCTAACAGATCTGCAGCCTCCATAGTTCGTCGAGCTGAAATCAATGCAAGGGAGTTGATACCCTGATTGTGCATCTCAGCGGACATAACGTGGGCAGAGACGGGGTGTGCCAGGGCCGCCAACTCAGACATATACGCTGACATGTTTATGTCGATTCCCTTCATGGTGAAGTTCTCTGATGCGGTGGCATTAAGGTTGGCCTCGAGTCCATTATTTGTAGCAGGGTTGATCATCTCAGTAACCTGGGACCAAAGCATTCGTCCGATCATCTGAATGGCCAATCGAGCCTTATCCATAGCCGACGTGACAGCAGCTGCTTGGAAATTTCCGCCAGAGTACACTCTTCCATTAGAGCCATCGTCTTGCTTGCTTGCGTCCACCAGAGGGTTATCTGATGTAGAATTGAGTTCCACTTCGAGCTGATGTTGCGCTAGAAGAAGGTCCTCGATATAAGGTCCAATCCATTGAGGAGCTGTTCTTGTCGAATACCGATCTTGGCAGAGTCCGTCACCAGATGCCTGGTGCGACTCCAAACCAACAACAAACTTGGAGCCTTTCAAGAAGCGCCGGATATTGCCTGCCACCTCAATTTGCCCGGCGTGAGGTCGAGTCGCGTGAATGAAGGGATGGACCCATTCTACATTCCCGGCCAAGCATTCCGAAGCGAAAGCCGTCAGCATTTGTGATAACAACGCGAGCTGCTGCGTATCATACAATGCCAAGCTTGCTACTGCCACAGAAGGAGCAGTTCCATTAATAAGCCCAAGTCCCTCCTTCGGACCGAGTCCCGTTGGGGAGAGCCCGCTCATTTTCAAGGCCACAGAGGATGGCATAATTGTGGCTTGTGCACCCTTACCCACCTGGACAAAGACATCTGGGTTGCCCATAATTGCTCCAGCAATGTATGCCATAGGCATAAGATCTCCAGATGCAGAAATGGTGCCCCTAAGTGGAATTAGGGGAGTAATGCCGTTGTGCAGCAGGTCAACCAGACTGTTGAGCACGCACTTGCGGATGGCACTGTGACCCCTGAGATTCTGATTTGCTCTGGCCACAATGGCGGCACGAGCCCAGGCGAGAGGCATGACGTGGGATGGTTCCCGCTCCGAGTTGCTGGCCGGATCCTTGTCAGCGGCCGTGATGATTCCACTTTGGATAAATTGCAGAAGATGGGTCTGCAGGTCGATGAGTTCGTTGGTTCTTGTATCAGCACTGCCACCGAAACCAGTGTTGACGCCGTAGATGACACATTTCTGAGAGATGACATCGGCTAGAGTGTCAACCGAGATCTCAAGCCGCTTGGAAAGCAGTTCGTCCGTGCTGATAGTGGGCTCGACTCCATGACGGGCGACAGCCACGATAGAAGCAATATCGAGGTTATTGCCATTGAGCTCAAGACTTCGCTTCCTGTTCCTCAAATCATGCACATGTCCCAAGAGTTGTAGTGTTGCACTCATATGGGCCGATCGGCCATGCCTCGTCAAGGTCATGATAACGAAGAGGTAGCAAATTATATAATCTCTCAACTCCAGGTGTCGTTGTATCGTCTGCTCGATTACCAAGGATTCAAATCACTATACAAAGGTTCGATTGAGTAATGCAAAAGAATAGAGGAAAGGGAGATATATAAATATATAAATATAGGTAGTATATTCGCTGTCTATTGTACTCGTCGAGTACAGAAAGTATTGAAAGTGGAAATCCGGATATGCAATCCTCCCGAGTGAAAATATCTCCGTGTAAATCTGGCATATTGGTATGAACTGTACTGGTCCCGCTTTATTTGAACTTTAATTGGGTACTCAGCTGATCGGCACTACAGGCGATGGAGTGTGTCACCAGCGAATTTAGGTTTATTGGCTATATTACTGGCGGGAAAAGGGCAAATTCACCGCTATTTCATAGCTGAGGACTCGAGTGCCGGAGGGCCAAGGCCCCGAGAGTGAACTCTACTTCTAAGGTGCCTAAGTGGAGCTATAATCGCCCAGGAAGCTCCCGATTTCCCCACCCTCTAGGTGACTACTCTACCTATACCCTGAATGACCCCGGGGCCTCGGGGCCTGGGAATCGACCACCGGAAAAGCAGTAAATAAAGGTTCGCGAATAAGCGGCAGATTTCGTCGCCCGTATCGACACCCACCATTGGCTGCTTTGTAGATTCTAAATCCCTGGTCAGTTACTTAGCCAGAACATGTACATTAAAAGGTTGAGCAGCATAAATGCCAATCTGCAGGGTATGAGGTAAATATCAATCCAGATTAATCAAGTTTCTTAATTTAGCTGAACGGGGAACGTCCCTTGTTGATCGAGACCCACTAACCACGATCTATCAGACTAAAAGGGCCCACCGGGCCCTAATGAAGACTACAACATTGTGAAGATAATATCGATTCACTGTTACACTCAATATCTAAACAGGAACAAATTCCGTGTCGTGCTCAGCTGGAGCCGATTTCAGATAAGTGGGCTTCAGAAACTTGAAAATGAGACCAGGAACACTTGGTGGGGCAATGTAAGGGGGGTGAAAAAAAGCAATATAGTTACTACTTGCTCACTAGTATATACTAGTGACGAGTAGTACTTTGTTCTTAAGATTCTAGATCTCAGACCTCACGTGCGTATGAAATGATAAAATTGCACATATTCCCGGAAACTACATTCAAAAGCTTACCCTTCATTTTACCAGCTTATGAAATCCAATAAGAGTGCCAGTATACGACTTTCCGTTCACGCTTTATGACCCTCGCACAGTAGATTACGCATCTCAGGCCACTGCAAAGGGACATTGTTCTCGTGATTACGTCAACGAAAATACTCGAACATACTTTGACGAGAAGGACAAATGGTACTACTGGCAGAGCTTGCAGGTTGATGATCTAGTCGCCTTCATACAGGAAGATTCACACATTGGCGATATAGAATGAGTAATATTTGCTGAAAATAATAATCAATCTATTGTCCAGTCCTTCCAAATCGTTCTTTAATGTGAAACCAATCTCCGTATCTCATTAGTAATGCCAAAGGGGGGATGAAAGCGGCTGCGATAAAGGATGAAACTCTAATGTCCATCCGTAGATGAGGAAGCCTAGAGGAAGAATGACTGAAGTAAGGAGCAAATGCATCAGCCTAAACTCCGGCTTAAATGCGTCACCCTTTGTTTCACGTTGGTGGATTGTATAGCGGTCGGAAGTGAGACTATAGAAGATCAAAGCGATGGTATTGCCGATAGCGAGACTTAAAAATGTCAAGCCAATGGAGCCGCTAGAAAAGACGATAAGGTACGTCGACTCTATGGTTTCTATGAGTGTGGTAAGGATCAATAAGACTAAAGCATATGTTACGCTATATAGCTCGTTGTTGAAATAAGGAGAGGAGACTGGGCTAGGATCTACATTGGTTTTATAACGCTTTTTAAGTATAGTGGATATATTAATATGGGCCTAATATTTAGAACGATACCTTCTATCGTCCGCGCGCTTCTCTTGTAACCGCTTCCCCTTCCGCCTTAGAATGACGACTGTATATATCTCCTAGAGTATAACTAGTAAAGGTAAGCCGAAGAACCTGAGTACGATAGCCGCTAACCAAATCGACTATCGCTAACCTAGGCTCTGTGAGATATACGACCCTACGATAGATAAAAAAAATCTACTATTATTTAAGTTCCTATAACTAACGATATGGACCGGCCGGTTGGTTCTATTTGGAACAAATTCCTAATAATGACGGGCCCGAGGGAGAGAATCGATAAGAAGCAACCCGTTAAGACTCGGAACGTAATCGGTACAGGGATGTTTAGGTATAGGGCGCTGGCGATTAAGCAATATAGCCCGGGGAGATTTCTAATGTAGAAGACTTGAAGTCGGCCGAATCTTTCGGAGAGCGGCGTAATGAAAAACGGGCAAATCCCTTCCCCGAGCTCCTAAATTGTGACGAGCAAGGCCTAGTGGATCTTATTGTGCGAATGGAACTCTTGTAAGACCCGAGGCACCGTGGGAACAATCTTTATTGTCGAGAAGACACTAATTCGGAAAATTAATGAGCGCAGATATACAGACTGGCGAGAAAAGGAAAGACGCTTACCTGACGAAACCCATCTACGAGATAACGAACAGAATCAGCCATTTTTGTGTTGGCAGCCAATTCAAAGGGTTTTCTGGGTCGTTCTCCTCGAAGTCCACGAGGACAACATCTGGGTCGCTGTCTCCGCTGTCATTTTCCAATGGTTTTTCGGCGAAATAATCATTCTTGCTTCCCGCTGCAGCCAGGAGATCTTTGCCTGACACTTCCTGAAGCTCTACTGAAGATAAAAGGTGGACAGGGTGGGTGAGAGCCTCATCAATAAAAAGTATCAGTGTCAAGCGGGTAGAATACGCAAACAGTATCTGTAAAACTGCTGAAATAGCAGGCAGGAAGGGACAGAGTGGGAAACAAGGCGACAGTTTAAGGGACAACGTGCAGTCACGGCTGGAGGATTATGACAGCACCTGATTACAAGTCATTTCCTCATCCTTTGTGTACATTTTGCTGATCCACCTGTGAAGGAGGCCGAAAGGCTAAGCATTGCTATGCATCCAAACGAGTACCTTTGCTCCCGGCGGACTCCAAGACCCAACCAACAACCACCCCTGGACGAGGCTACATTCGGTTTCGTACGAAGCTAATACATGGCTTGAAGCGATACAGGTGATCTTCCCGTTTGTCCTATACACTCCCCCTGCGTTGTCCTTCACTACTCATCATGTGGTAAATTGTTATAACTGAGCACGATTATTTCGCGGTCTCTTCGACCAATACCGAGAGGGCTCGCTCCCATAGAGATAACCAACAATCAGGGCCAGAGGAAAAGGTGCTGACCACGTCACTGGAGGATAATACGGACGACAAAATAGAGAGTCATGCGCGTCCCAAGGGAGCAATATTTGTCACTCATTCTTCATCCTGGCGAAGGGTTTATTTGTTGCATATATATGTGACAAAATGGTCCCTCGCTACTGCCACGCTCAACAGCGATTTGCCTGACCTAACAACTGAGAGAGTCGTATTTGTTGCGGCCTGGGTAGGTTAGTCAGTGTTTCTCTTTCCATAATGCACCATTGTAACTGAGCCAAACAATCAAGTACCTTGTCTTGACATTATGTCAATGTAACACCCACCTGGGTAAGCAGAACTTCTGACACCCAAGGTGAGGTAATAGACTAGATGCCTCAGCCTTTGGGTTTTATGTGAGACAGATGGTTATCAAAGCATTCATTATTTGACAAATCTGCTCGTTGACTTTCTTGAGCAACCTAGGCTAGCAAGACATAATTGTTGAAAGAAAGAGGAGAGAGAAGAATGATTGATTCTCTACAAAAAGCAAAAGCTAGCTAGTTGGTTAACTAAATAGTGTGTAGAAGCCTGACAAACCAGGAATTTACAACACTCTGCCAGGTATACCCTGGAGTAAGCACCGGACGGTCCACAGTCCTGAGACTCCGACACTTGAGATTCCGTAACCCTAAGGCCACCTTGATACTCCCTCAGTAGATGGTAGCTCATTTGCACTATATTTCCTTTTAGCTATCCGCTATCATGTTTGGCCATATCTGTTTTCAGAAAAGTCGTAGTAGCAAACTTACCCGTTGGTCAATACAGCTCCCTTGTCCCTCACAGCACCGGAATGTGCCTCCGTTAACGCAGAATTGGCCCTTCATGGAGCACCCAGCTCTCGCCTCCAGATCTGGTCCGGCTTCGGCCATTGCGTAGGCAACAAGTGCAAACAGGACAATAAAAAATTTCATTTTTGAGTTGATTCGTAAAAAATTGTTCGAATTTTCTTTGAAAGGTTTGAAGAGATAGAATAGAAGGGTAGTTTGAATGTACTGTTGAGGAATTGGTTCCATCACCCCAATGGGCGTCGAGGCTTATATAGAGCCGATGATATATTGACTATTGCCTTAATGCAAGCAATAGCTTGCAAGGGTTGGATGCCTGATGCTGGGGCAGTTCCAGTGTGTCATATCGTGTGTCATATCATATTTCATAAATTAGGATATATGTATTCTATTGGCTAGAAATTGATAGAAATGAATACTGTAAATGTTGACACTTTATGAAGCAGTTGAGTTTCCCCTAAATAAAGACTAAATATAGCAGATGGTATACTAATTTAAGAAGGTAGTAGTTAGGAGAAGGGGTACTAAAGATTTTGCTGTGTTACTGCAAAGATGAATTATTGAAATTTGTACGAAGCCCTGGAAGAGATGATACGAAATTTGAGGCGTTGAAGGCGGTCGAAGCTTAAGATGGAAAAAATATGATATGGGGTACAGGGCGCTATGCACTGTCATACCTAATATCCGAAAACAATGCCCTAGTAGTTCGCAATTTGAGGTTACATTGCAGGAATTAGATCAGTTGGCACTGGAATACCTTCGAGCTAAGAAGTAAATAGGTCAGAAATTGCAGGTCTCTGCTCAAACAGCAGAATATCTGTAGATCAATCTTGGCATCTTGGGATATGAGTGAGCATTCGTGAGGATTATCCCTGCATGATGGAGATCATGCACATACCAAGCCTATACGAGCCGCGGCAGTGGATCTCTATCTAGTAATTGATCGTCGGGCGTCTACGTGCACGGATGGGGTCTGCCTTTTGCAAGAACAGCTAGGAGCAAAACAATGTCACAGAAAAGAAGGCAATTCAACATTGACGGATAAAAGGTCCTAGAAGTCTCAGTCTGATTATTTATTGACCAATTGAACTTTCTCTATGGGCACGCATTGGGCGAGAACACTATGATTGGTTGTATCGTTTGGATCCCATATTCACAGGTAGAAGCTTGCGCAGAGCGCTGTTTTTCGGCATTGCAATGGTAAAATAAAACGAAAGACTTTGTCAAGACGAAGAAAAGGTTCATATATAGATAGGCGTGAGAAGCCTGGCAATATCAGTCGGAAATTTAGAAGCTCGGGCATAGCAGCCAGGCTTTATTTTTGGATTTTCACACATGTCTGTAGTTCATTTTGTTTGCTTTGCAAAAATATTCCATAAGTAAAAAGGAGCCTAGCCAAGCGACCCACTTTCGGGTTTCAACCAGTATTTCAGTTGGAAGTTCACCTAGAGGGGTCTATCTGCAAGTCCAGGATATCCAATACTACCTCACTTGGGCCTTCCCGGAGCCTGAGAAGGCACCGTAAGACCAGAAGGTTGAATATCACCCATACACCCTTGATCCCATTTAGAGTGAAAAAAAATATATAAAAAAAATAAAAAAACACAAAGCCTATAAAACTGCCAGGATATCCCACTTTTTAATTGTAGTCTCACCATCGCAGAGAAATCTTCTTTCACACTACACAGCTAAAATTTCATATCCCCAGGGTTCTACCTTCGCACTTATACAATGAAGCTCTCCGTTGCCATCCTTACTGCCTTCTTCGGCTTTTCCATGGCGCTTGCCGTGCCTAATGCTAAGGATGTCTCTGAGCAAGCTGTTCCCAACAGCCAACATTCCCTTGTTCAGAGAAATGTCTACTGTCCTTCGAATAAGCCAACCGAATGCTGTGGTGTGAGTTGGGGATATTCACTGATTTGCCTTTCCATCTCACTAACAAGTTTCGAAATACAGTGTTCCGGCGGGTTCGGAACTTGCATCAACTACAGTTGTGTTTGCCAAGGCTGTTAGTAAACAGGCAGTTTACTGGTGACCACTGAGACCCTTTTAAAGAAAAGCGCAGCCGGGGTACTGAGTTTCGAGGAATTTGTAAACCTCAGATTGTTGTTTCTCGTCCTTCGTTTCTATTTGGTGATTGCAGCAAATCTATGTTTCTGGTGTTTTCCCTAAAAGTCTGAGATAAGGTGGAATCAATTGAATAGCACTATGGTATCCTCGATGTGGTTACATATGCCCTGTTTCCTCAAATTCATGCTACCTAACGATCAGCCAATTTTCCTATCAAGTATAATTTTGACCACCCTCTAGATCTTGGATACTAAGCTGCGCACTTCAGGTCAGGTAGTGATAACATACTGTCCATGCGAGATAAAAAGGGTCATAAGGGTTTGAAGTCAAAGACCACTACCGGGGTAGCATCCCAGGCGAAAATAAGGATGCCACACGGCGCAATCAAGGCCAAAAAAACGGCAGGAAGAAGGCGACGTTCAGGAGAGCCAATTCCAGTCTGGTATGTGTACGGCTCATAGTGGAACTTGACAAGGGGGGCCAAATATGTGCCGGCCCCGAAGAAGCAGGCTACAATAACGCACAGAAAGATGGCTCCCAACCCACGTAAAGCCACAGAGAATGAGAAGCTCATACATAGACCACATCCAGGAGCTGAGAGGCACTGAGAACCCAGATAAAAGCGGACCTGAGGCGGGTCCTGCCAGAGTTGCACATCCCCAGAAAGTAAGACCATACGGTATTATTGGGAAAGAAAGGATATCAGCAGCTAAGGCTCCTCCTATTGCCAACACCTGGGACCCAATAGTCCCTAAATCAACCACAAGACAACCAATCCTGCGAAGTTCGACACGCGAGAGGTCACGGCGATGATAACTATGAAGAGCGTAAACGAAACGAAGTACGGGATATTCCATCCAACTGCAGGTACTTCCGACAAAGGGCTAAAAGGCAATGGCCCAATACCCTAGGAGATCCATATTAGTTTGGAAATGTCTACCGAGGACAAGGGTATACTTACATATCTTAAAACATACATCGAAAGTGCCAAAGACGATTCTTGAGTGTTCACACCGAACACCTCCACGAAAGTTGGTTGAGCTGGAGTAATGATTGCGGATCCACAGTACACTATCTAGTCAATATAAAAAAAGATCTTACGAAATCCCTCGTCAAATGGCCGGAAAGGTAAGAAGGCAGATCTGCGAAAATGTAATAGTCTTTTTTGCGAGTGACCACGTCTGCAGGTTTTAAGGATTAGTTTCGCTATACCAACTGACAGTCTGGCAATCAGTCTTTGACTGGTCTGGCGATGATACAGGCTCAGCTTTCTCCACGTCGGCATCCGTGTCTGTAGAGCTACTGTTCGCGTGAGGGGTAAGTACTTCAAATGGTCTTTCTTCCGGCGCTTGATAGTGGAATCCAGCCTTCTCATTGGGGTAAAGAAAAACTTGGGGACCGAGAACTAATCGACAGAATTGGCCGAACGGCGCATCTCGAACGCTGAACGCTGACATGGTCTTGAATCAAAACTTAAGACGCTCCAACAAGTACCTTCAGCTCCGGGTTGGTAATAGGGTGAGAACAACTTTCCATGCCATTTTCTGGCTTTTGTTCAACATAAAATATACTGCGCATTTCCTTTATCACTACATCTTCATATCCGTTCCTCGGTGTTGCAGCCTAAAAGGATTTATTTCTTTGTCTTCAAGAATAAGCTAAATTAAAAGGGGCGTCGAGCCTCCCGAGCTTCACTTGTGTCAGTAAGCCACTCCGACAGCGTAGGCGCGATCCTATTGGCCGGGAATCTTCGATCGATGTGCTCGGCCCCAGGGCCCACTTGAAGTTACACATCACGAGCCGCCCGAGATCCCTGTCTAGCACTTTCAGTGAATTTCTGGCCAATGCTTTCGTCTAATGATGCCTAGATCTCGGTCTCTCCTGTATGGACTTGCACTTTGGAACAAGGATCGCGGTTCAGGATGTCGAAAATACCGACTCACTCGCTGTGTTACCGTCTCGGACGTAATGGAATGTGAAGGTTGAGTGGGCTCTCCTTATACTATGGATGATACTCGTAAAGTGGTTGAATATGTTAAGATGCCTAGATTATCCTATCCTTCCCAATCTAGATCTACTACCGAAGCCTGGAAATTCCCGAAATCACTGTTTTTCCGCGTATGAGAGAACACAACATCCAGACTACATTAACAGGACGATTTTGCTCTAGCCCTTGCCCTTATTTGAGGGTCGCCAGGTATGGCAACTGAAGTGTATCCCATGTGTACGATTTTCTAATTGTGGTGGGTGTTCTGTTCTAGAGCTTTCCTGGATGCTACACGACGTAGTCTCCGCACTATCTCAGCCGCATACATGAGACATGGAGTTTTATCCTTCAGGGCCCCGGCTATTCGTCGCTGATTAGATCCGAGTTTTCATAAACTGCTTTCAGAGCTTCCTTTTCTTCCAGCGCATCTTGGCTGCATTCGATCTTTAAACTTGTAGGCCTAAACTAAAAGCACAAAGCCCGCTGCGAGCTTTAGAAATAGGCTCGAAACCCGATCCTGTTAAAGGTCAAGCCGGGTCGGGTTTCAGGCTCTGCGAGCTTTATGAAGTCTATTCATGCCTAATAATAGAAAACTGGCAGTATTAGTATGGATAAAATATGACAAAATCCGCACTAATCTTGATATGTATGACACGCTCTGGATAGTCTATGGATATTCCGGGGGTTTTCAGTACTATAATATTCTACCGTGGTATTGGCCTCTCCACAGAACCCAGGCAATTAGTCCCAGACCCAACCCAACTTTGGGTTGGTGGGGGCCAAACGTTGGCCATAAGTTCAGTCTTAGATTATACTGGGTGGCCTAAAAGAATCCGTGGGCACCTAATTGGGTACCAAACATAATCACCAGACGCAATCAAATCAGTTAAGATCGACAAAATCGTCCAAGAATGCAGCAGTGATTGTCGAGCAAATACCCCAGCTCTGCTCAAAGTGACTTTGACGGGCTTGCTATAGATCTAGAAATCGAAACAGGAGATAATGTAGCCGACTTCGCCTAGACAGCGAGGAAAATTTATCGCCAGGCTACCTCTAGGTACCTGGTTCCAGCCTTATTTTAGAGCCATTTGGTAGGCCTATTTTGGAATGAGAATTGGATTTATGAGAAATGAATGATGAAAAAGAAAAAAAAAGAAAATATAAGAAAAGGTCCCTTTATCGAGTGTCCTATATATAGCTTTGACTATTTTTACATGATGACTGCAATCACTCACTATGTATAGGGCTGGGAGGGCTCCAGGGCTGTGTTTCTGACTTACCTAACAAGCGAACGGACGTCTAAATTTGTTCCACTAATATGCTCCCCTTTGTCCAATCCTCATCAGTGTGGTGTCCAAACTCTTTATGTAATTACTTCACGATGTTAGTCGACTGTCCGCTCTCCTCCCAACCGCGTTAAAAATCGATACAGTAGTATAGATGCCAATTCATAGCCATCAAAACCACATCTCTTTCTTCACACCGTATACTAGAACGGTTCATTAATGTGGTACCAGTGCGATAGCTGCATTGTTTGTTTTGCATTAGCAGAAATTTCTTTAAATCCGCCTTCTCACCTGTTAAAATCCCTGGTCAGTTCCCGGGACAAGTTTGGCAAGGTGGGTACTATACGAGCTTGAACTGGGCTAAGCAGGATGACCGCATGGCTGACATGGGATTATCGGTATGGACCAGTCGACCAAGGGCATGTTGGCCAAGGAAGGAAGGACCTGTGTTGTATTCTGTTGTTTGTATGTTCGACTACGAGGACAGCTTATGACATCATCCTCGATCGTATTCATGTGGGGTAGGCATAGATGACTTTAGACAGAATTGCGACCGGAGTCGGGTGCGGAGAAACCGGTTGGATTATCGATAACCAACGCATTCCTTGGTTCAGGCAGGCTGTCCACATAGCTGGAATTATTCTGCAGTCCAAATAGAGAATCATCAACAAAAGCTCCAGCCACTGTTGAGAAAATGGAGGGATTATGGGGTAGATGTAACGCTACCTGGTGGTTACATCTACTCGGTGTAATGTCTTTAATGTGGGGTACATGCAGTGGCGGTGATGCGCATGTCTCACCTATCAGTTGTATTGATTCGCCATAGGGTGGAGCGGGTGGTGGCCTAAGCATCCAAGACGTGGGATAGGGGCCATGTCTTAGATTCAAGGCCTCCCAAATATGCTCTAGCGGTACATCATCGATACTGCCTGTGGTCCGAGTAGCAGACCTATATGAGGACCCCCAATTCCTTCCCTTCTCGGGAACAGAACAGATCATTCAACCTTCTATTTCAAAACAAAAGCTAAATACCAACCATGAAGACCTCCCTATTTACATTTGGTGCCCTCGTCGGCCTGGCCTCAGCCCAGAATGCCATCGTGTATAATAACTGTGATACCACCGTGTATGTGCAGTCGTACCCTACCGATGGTAGCGCCCCCGGCCCACTCACCACGGTTGCCGCTGGGGAAGCTTTCTCTGAGGAATTCAGAGTATCTGGTTCGGTACGTTACTCCATCCTATTCGGTCTGCATAATACTCCACATAGCAAGGGAAGCTCACTGGGGATCGAATGTATAGACTGTGAAGATCGACAAGACAAAGACGCTGGATACGCCTCTCTTCTTTGGCTATTCATTCTCGTCCAACCCAGACTACGTGTACTGTGAGTACACTCAATCTATCTGTCAGGCGGTAATCCTTTACTAACTGTATCCTTCTTCAAGATGAGCTGAACACGGACTGGGGTAACCCCTTCGCAGCGGACCACAACTCGCTCAGTCCCGGCGATGGCTGTGAGGCCTTTGACTGTGCGGCCAATGATGCCGCCTGCTATAGTACCCAGGCTGACAAGAAGGTTTATGGGTGCCCCCAGCCAGTTACCCTGACCGCGAACCTCTGCCTGTAACTATGTCGCCTACATTCTGTAACATGGTAGATTTATGGGGATATATTGTTGCTTTATTTTCCGTATCCTTATTTCAACCCCTTTCAACCTGTCGCACCCCGTTTCAAGGATAGCCATGCGCTAGAATGTGACGGGAATTTGTCATGAGCTACTATATATAATCTATTGGATTTTCCCATTCTACCAAAAAGCCTAGGATTGCAGTAGTCGAGAATGTTTCTAACATTTCAACATAATCACAATATGAAAAATAATATGATACACAACGACATTACTAGTGGCATGTATAGTTAGTGCGTCCTAGGGATTCGATTCCCTTTGAAGAATATGAATTTAATATACCTTTTACGCGAACTGTTGGTAGTTCCATCACAACAACTAGCAGATACGGTATATCACAGTCTGAGGGCAGGTATGATTGACCCTATGATTATCAATTTATTTTCTTTTTAATCTAGTCTTCGCCTCAAATATTCGGCCCTACCTTCCGCTGCTAATCCCCAATCATAAATTTTCAGTTTGGATCTATTGATATATAGTATATATGATAAATCTAGACAATATAGCGTTATAAGCCCTGTACTACGGGTTTCTAAATGTCAAGTGAATAAGGTGTATTAAGTGTGGGAATAAATCAAAATTAGTGAGTTGAGCCGTGAGCCGAGTATCTTGCGTCTTACAGCGATGCCTCCGATATGGAAAAAGGAATCTATGCGTATAGATAAGATATCACTTCTATAGTTCATTACAGTGTGGACACTCTAAGACACGGCATTTGGTATGTTACTGTTCAATTGATCTTCACACGAGTAATCTCCCAACCTTGGTGGGAGGGATCAACGAGAGCGTCACTCGTCTAGGCACTTCATTTTGATTCCAGTAGGCAATCCCGTGACGAAGCCAACTCGCATAGGTACCAGGTATGATATCCGAGCCCGGGTTGTCCCGCCAGAGTGAGCCGAGAGTGACCTTGTTAACCCGCAGAATGAGCCCGTGAGCAAGCTTGAAGCCAAAGCTGCGCGACAGACAGGCCACAACAACCTCACAAGCCTTTTTTTGTTTCTCTGACTCTTCTACTCCTTCTTTGGGTATGGGAAGTGATAACAAATCAAATGCTTCCTGTCCATTCCAGGCAGTTAGCTCATTAATGAGCTGCGACCCTTCCATGAACTCAATCGCATAGAAATGCTGCATGCAATAGGCTGGACCGTCCCAATTATCTTCGGTATCGACCAACCCCATGACTGCAGTAGCCACCTGGCCTTGGATGATATAGTCGGTTAAAAGCCGGCTGACCTCCGCAGGGCCGATGAAAGTCCCATCATCTTCGGTAATTGTAAATTCACCACCCATCAAAGGAACGCCTTGGAGGAGGGGGCTAGCATGCATGCCATCGGTGCTTGTTTTACCACCATCTGCGCCCCAAAGGGCGACAAGTAGACGATGGCAACGAGTGAAGAGTGCGTTATTGGGCAATGCGGCGAGGAAATAATTGCATAAACTGTAATGATCCTCACCACTTGGTGTGTAAGATAGAACCTCGTATGGAGAGTCAGGGTTTTCAATTGTCGAAGTCCATAACGTATCCAGATCGCCAATTTGCATCATACCCACATCCGCATAGACACCCCCATATCGTAGGAGCAGCGGCCAACGAACAAGGTCCGAGGTGTGTTGTAGCGCATAAGGGCCAGTGAGAGTCTCATCTGTAAAGGCTCGTGGGAAAAGTGCTGGATCGGTGACATCTAAGAACTCAGCGATATTGCTTTTTGACCCTGGTTGCCGGTCGATGATTCGCACAGTCCACCCTTGCATGGTGAATCGGCGGTGCCATGCACGAACTGTGCGCTGTGTGTATGGGTGCATGTTGGCGTAGCCTGAGTGCCAGAAGAACCATATGTTTTTGACGCCCCTTACTGGCTTGGGGTGTAGAAGGTCAAAGTCTATGTCGGCATCTGGGCGTAGATCGAGAAGGCCAGAGGGGATGATGTGCATCCCGGTAGGTACAAGGTATTCCATTGCCGAAATTGAACTCGAGGTAGAAGTAATTGAGGATATATTGGATGCAAGCATGTCGCGAATTTTGATTTCACACAGCGTGATACTCTCTTTTATAGATAGATGTATCCATAGATGAACCTCGGAAAGTTTTTAGAGGGGCGTATTGACCAATCACGCGGTGATTAGATGTGAGCAACAATGAGTCAACGCCAATTTAGACCCCTGGACCTCGAGACCAGATTGACATCTCAGGGTTCTCCTGATAAGCAGCTATTATTAATTCATCATACTATCATACCATACATAGACGTATGTAAGTACCTTTGGTCAATCTGCCAGTTCCACATTCATCCACTGAGACGGACGAATTGGAAATAAGTTACAGTATGAGACATATTCAAAACAATATGCGGATTTTCCCCGTAGAGGACCGCAATTACCTTGCGATATACAGTTTTCATTTATATGGTGATTCGGTTGGTCGGCGCGCTTGGGAATCAAGTTAGAATGTGCCTAGTGTTCCAACCCAACCCACAGCTCATCCTAGGCGGCCTCTGTAATCGTTGTATTATGACCTTCCACTAGGTATATAATTTTAAAATTTAGAATTTAGGATCATAGTAGCTATATAAGTATATGTTTTAGATTTAAATAAAATCCGACCGGTAGAGGTCGCGTCGCGAAAAGGGTTAGTTAATATTAAAGTTTTGGCAAGATATAGTAACCGGGTCGTCGAACTGCGGACACCGGGACACCGCGAAGGCGGTGGCCGCAGTTCGACGACCCGGTTATGGGATTAGTATAGGAGTACTACTACTTTCTAAACGAACTTCTGTAATTTATAGGTTATCTAAATAACGCGTTTTCTCGCGTTTTTAAAAGCGATATCAAGAGATAACTAGTAATAAAATATTACCTTTAGTATGAGGTTTAGGGACGGGGGTAAAACGAAGGGTAATCTAAAAGCCCCTAAAAGGGGGTTCAACCTCTAAATTCTCGGCATATTTGTACTGTTTGGGACCCATCTAGGGGCCCATTAACTCGCAATCGGCTTCTCATTAGGCCCATAGCCCACCGGTGGGCCCGAAGGTAGGGCTTAAAGCCCAGCCCATTTGCGTGTTTGGCTGGGCTATGGGTTTTATGGGCTTTGCGGAGCTCTAAATGTGCCTTTGTGAAGTTGCCGACATAAACACTGGTGTCAGAGCCCTGAATCGTTTCCAAAGGCACAACGGCATTCTCGAATGCCTCATAGCGCACTTTGAGGAGTTTCCTTCGCTGGGCGTCCATGGAGGTGGCTTCGAGGTTGTTGATCCCGAAGAATGCGTTTTCGAGGGATCGGACGATCTCCTGAATGAAGTACCCACAGGTTAAATTGATACTTGTTGTGGCTGCTAGTAGAGGGAGAAAGAAGAACGGAGTCTTGATTCATATATATGAGAACCGGAAAGGAAATCACGACTTGACTGGCTTACCCCGGCTGTAGTTACACAGATAGCGATGCGGCCATACCGGTCCTTGACTCTCGCTATCAACGCTTGCACCTGCGCCCTCCTCACGGACGTCGACGTGGTAGGCGGCTGCCCTACAGGCCTCTCGGTCTCGCCATACGACTGCGTAGCTTGACGTGGCAGGTTCTTGGGCTTGGAAGAGATTGATGTCAGCGCAGACTAGAGTGGTGAGACCTTGCGCGACAAGTGCATAGGCAACCGCTCAGCCAATGCCACTTCCTGTAGTTCAGTTAATCCACCTATTAGTTTGATCAGTGACTGGTGCAAACAATGGGCTAGGGGGCTGACGTTGGGATCGGTGAGGCAGAGGAAAATCAGAAAGGGGGCGAAGTGGACAGTATACCAGCACCAAGGACCAGTAAGACACCTTCAACCTGCATCGGGGCTATAGATGGCCGATTCTGTCAACAACCTCTGTGGTTGGGGTCGATTTCAGTATTCTTTGTGCATGCAGGCTGTCGCGTCCTAGCTAACACCTTTAAGTAGCGGGAGAATGTCTGTCATGTACGGTATTGGGTGGCTCTTGAATACATACTCCGTGCACAAAGGAGTCAATACTACTCATAGATTAGTGAGCTTAGTATTTGGGATTAGGAGTCCAGGATGTTGTTGCCACTCTTACCAAGGCCAGGACCGAGATACATAGGTCGACCAGCCATCCTGCTGAATACTGTAAGGTCAGATGTCTCGGGAGCTCGGACGGACTCGGCGAACGCCTGAGGGCCCGCACTGGCGGCAGTGGCCGGTCGCTGCTCTCCTTAAATCGATGATCCACCGATGAAACGACTAAGCTCTCTATCCCCGGGTGAGCTCGGTCCAATCTGTCAGCCTTTGTATGGCAGGTGATCACCCGTCCACAATTGTCTTTCGGTCATCACGCTAATCCAACGATGATATTAATTCTCGGAGATGGATCTCCACCCTGGTCCGCCATCCGAGCATTTTGGCTAAAGGGGAGATTCGACTCGGTGCCTAGCGCCAATTGATTTTTGTCGCATTTCTATTTAATCCGCTGCGACGACCAACGCGGGGTCCTGCATCAATCACCCAGCAACCGCCCCGCCTCAACATGCCGTGGACGTCAACCGAGCACTCGCCGAACACCTTCACCCGGTCCCTTGGCCCCAACGAGGTGTTTATCAAGCTGGTCAGTGATCCCGGTCACCCGCTCGGTCGTGAACACTGGGCCATCAACTACACGGCCACCATCAGTCCTCGTGGGGCGTTTGCGGCCGTGTCGGGCCTAGTCTATCGCACAACCCGGGTTTGGGTCGAGATATCGGACCCGGACCCGGACCCAGCCTGGGTCCGGGTCGAAGTCAGCGAACCCGGACCCAACCCGGACCCAGCGCTGGGCCCCCAATGGGGCCCCAGTAAAACCCAACTTTGCATAAAAACAAACTCTTGGCGTTCATAAAGTTGCTAAATAATCAACATGTAATCTTCGTATTTTTTTGTGTTTTAGATCGAACCCATATGAACTCACTTATTCGACATCAACTTTATATGACTAAACTAAATAGACACTTATATCATTTTATATTGGCCAGATATTAGTTTATTACCAATAAAAATTAAAGATAATCATGGTTGTAGTGGTATTTGATAATTTAGGTTTGCTGACATGGTTGAAGTTGTAGAAATATATTTTGAATACAGTGTAAAGTAGTCACTCTATCCTTACACGTTGAGATCTCCTTTCGACTACTACTATCTCTGACCGCGGTCAGAAAATTAATTATACGATTAAAGCCTTATTCTACTATACTTTCTAACCGCGGTCAGAAACTCTAGCTGAGGGGATCTTACAGTGAGCGCGGGTAGAGCCCGAGTACTAATACTCCTAGTTTCTGACCGCGGTTAGAAACTCTGGCTGAGGGGATCTAGCAGTAAGCGCGGGTAGAGCCTGAGCCTTAGTACCGGCATTAGCCCGTTATAATTGCTGGGTTTTGCTGGGTTTTGCTGGGTTTTGCTGGGTTTTGCTGGGTTTTGCTGGGTTTTGCTGGGTTTGGCTGGGTTTTGGCTGGGTTTTGCTGGGTTATGCTGGCTCTAACCCACTTAAACCTATAATATATACCAATTAAATGCTAGTGAAGTAGGTACTTTTGATAAACGACGACTTGATCGTTCAGCTCTCTATTCACAGCTAGGGTAATACGTCTTCTGCCCTTTGTAAGTAAATCCCTTCTCTTATTCTTCCCCTCGTAATTGATCATTTATTTATTTCGCCTATTATGTCCCAGAGCCAGCAATCTAATTTGACATCCTCGATTTATGATGGAGATATAGACAATCTTGGTTATCTTACCCCTTCAAACCGACTTGGTACCCCTGAACCATCCACTAGCCAGCAGACGTTCGATCTCGACTCTATTGACTCCGAATTCCTTCGTCCGATTATTCCCCTTATACCTCCTACCTCACTTCTACGTGTTGGTCCCGATCGGAGAAAGGCATTTGTTCTTTATGACAAAATGACTCATACCGAATGGGTCGACTGGTGGTTACAGACTGATTTTGGAAGGAAGAGCAAGATCCATTGGGACTCAAACCACCAGTCTGATGTTTGGGGTAGGTTTAACCAGGTTGCAAATAGTATCGATGGGGCACCAAAGGTTATGTGTAAGAATTGCGGCCAGATTCTTGAGCATCCTTACACTATCCATCCTCATCCAACGGGCGACCGGAAAGCACAATATCATGGCACATCAACAATGTCAAAACATATCAAGAGCGCAGGGTGTCGAAAGGCTAAGGGTGGATCAAAGCTAGAGATCACAAGATTCCTCAGCAAAGCTGTATGTTCTATTATAACTTAATCTTTTATTCTCCTTACTAAATTTTTTTAGGATGATACTCCGACCGAGGCTCCTTTCTCACAAGAGGCCTGGGAGGAAGAGATTTTATCCTTCTTATCTCTTAATCGACTCCCATTTCAACTTATCGAGCACCCAACGTTTCAGAGCCTAATTCAAATGGCTCGCACCTCTCTATCCACCCCGTTTATCCCCTCTGCTGATACAATTCGTCGTCGGCTATCAAGCACAGTTAAGAGTCGGCAACAGAGTGTGCTTCAGATGCTTCCATCTCACTCAAAGATATCTATTGCCCTTGATTGCTGGACCTCTCCCTTCTCACAGGCGTTTATGGCAATCACTGGCTATTTCATTGATAGCGACTGGGTATATCGAGAGGTGCTACTAGACTTCAAGCCTATTTATGGGGCGCATACTGGTGCAAACCTAAGTAGTGCGCTGATAGAGACCCTCACAGAACATGGAATCGAAGATAGGGTGTTTGGGCTGACAACAGACAATGCATCAAACAACAAAACTCTTATGGAATCCCTTCAACAGGTTTTACCGGATGGTGTTATTGTTATTCGAATTCCTTGTCTTGCCCATGTTATCCAACTTAGCCTGAACCAGCTTCTTGGACACATCAAGGCAGTTCCAGAAAATGAGACTACAGAGACAAAGTGGACTGATCAACAGTCTAAAATGGCCCAGCAGAATGCACAACAACAGCAGCGAGGGATTTCTTCTACGCTGAATAAGATTCGTTACCTTGCAATATATGTGAACGCTAGTCCCCAGCGCCGGGAGAGTTTTTACAATCTCCAGCCCCAAAAAGTCAAGATTGCCCCAATCCAAGATGTGAAGACCCGGTGGAATTCAACATTCCTAATGCTTCGCCGCGCGAAGAGACTACGGTCTGTTTTTGGCCCTTTTTGTGAAGAGTATGCTCGTCTTGATCTGCTACCAGATACCGAAGAGTGGCGTCAAATTGACTATCTTCTTTGTATCACGGAGCCATTCTTTGATTATACTCTACAACTCTCAAAGACTCGGGATATTACTGCACATTATACTTTTAAGATATACAACCGGCTTTTTGAGCATCTTGAACAGTCAATGAAGCAGCTCAGACGGAAGCGTGTTCTATGGAAGAAACAGATGCTTGATGCGCTCGAAGCTAGTCGACTAAAGCTTGACGAATATTACTCTCAGACTGATCATATCCGAGGGTATATCTTTGCGATATGTACCATGCTTGCGCCTGTGAATAAGTTTCAATTCTTTCAAACTGATGACTGGGATCAAGAGTGGCGCGATAAATATCGCCAGGCATTCCAAAAAGCTCTCGTACCATATCAAGATCGGCTTTCTCATATACAAGACTCGCAACCTTCTTATAATCAACCTCGACCAAGTTCGAAGCTTGATAAGATGTTGAATAGTAATAGAAGACAGCTGTCGGGAGTCACAGATGAGATAACACAATATCTCGATAGTGGTATGTTAACCCTAAATAATATTAATATTTTACTAACTAGTTAATAGATACGATTGAAATTGCGCCTCTTGGTTTCTGGAGAGAGAATCAACACCGCTTTCCAGCTATTGCAGCTCTTGCAAGGGATATTCTCTCAATACCAGCAACAGGCGCTGGTGTTGAACGACTATTTAATACCGCTCGAGATATCTGTCATTACCGCCGGGGAAGAATGAAGTCCGAAACAATCCAAGAGCTTATGATGTTCCTTTGTACTTCAAGATTCGATCTTGAGGAGCAAGAGGCTAAGCGACTTGAAGAGTTTTTTACACAAGACGAAATTGAAGTGGCGAAGGAAGAGAAGGATGAGAGACCCGATGGGGTTGAAGTAGACCCAATTAGTGATACTGAAGAGCTAGATAAAGGGGATAAGGAGAATAAGGCGATAGAGGATATTGAAGATGATATGATTGAGCCTAAGCTACCGGATAATGGTACGCAGCTCCGATTATCAGGACGGAAGCGTAAACAGCGAGATGATGATAATTTCCAGTATCACTAGTTAGCTAAAATATTATCTTCCTACCCTAAATCTACATACTCTTGATATAGATAAGATGCAAGAGAAATACCCAAAATTACAATAAGAGATTGTATAAATTATGCAGTGAGGATTCCTTGGTATATTTGTCTTATTTGTAACCCAATTGGGGCCCCAGTATGGGTCCGGGTTGAGGGTAGTAACCCAGAACCCAGCGCTGGGTTGAGATTTTGGACCCGGACCCAACCCAAACCCGGGTTGGGTCCGGGTTGGGTCCGGGTCCGGTTGGGTTCTGCGGAAGCCTAGTCGGGCCCACCCGACATTCTACCAACCCTCATCCGCTACAGTTGGTTGCATCTGCGCTTCCAACACCCCAGTCTAGCTGCGCATCCGGACTCCAACTCCAACGTCGTCTACACAGTTCCTGACTCTGCCGATAGTCTTAGCGAATGGGCCTCTCAGACCTTTACCGTGGAGAGCGATGCCCAGTCCGCCGACGAGGTCATTTCCACCATCGCACCAGCACCCGACGCCCGGCTGTACTATGTCACCCAATCAAATGAGCTGCTCCTACACACTGCACACTGGCGCATGGATGGAGTCGGTGGGCTGTTTCTCCTCGGCCAGCTGGTGGACTTGATGGTCTCGCACGCCGGCACACTCCTCTCAGGAAAGCTGCCAGACCCCTTTGATTCCTTCCGATGGGGATCGGAGATTACGCGGCTAGTGCCACCAGTCGAAGAAGCCGGTAACATGCCACTTATCGCGACCGAGGAGCAGAAGGCTGTCGCTCACGGGGCAGTCGGCACCTTTGCCCTGGCGGCGGGTGCCCTCGGGGTGCCGTATAACGATGATACCTCCAGCATGCCCTCCGGAACGCGGGCCGCCGAGCTTATGTTCTCGCCCGCTACCACATCCGCCGCTGTATCCGCGGCGAAGGCACTTGGCGTCGGGGTCACAGCCGCCGTCCATGCCAGTCTGGCTGTGGTCAACTTCCGGCACGCGATCGCCGAGCACCAGGGCCGCCACTACACTAGCACCATCAAACAGTCGTTGCGACCGTATCTGCCCGAACCTTACTCGACCCCCGCGGCAGCAGCTGGGTTATACACGTCTGGCTGGTTGGCACGGGTCGAGGGCCTCCGGCACCTGGGAGGAGAATGCCCGCATGTATCAGGCAGAGTATGAGAAGGGAATTAGCAGTGAGTATCTCCAGGCGCACCGGGAGTATGCGTCCACTTTGGTCGAGATGATAAAGAATTTGCCGGCCCCGACAGAGCCACCCAGCGATATCGATATCAGCAGCATGGGAATCATGGAGAAATATCTCGAGCGTGAATATGGAACCCCGGAGCGCGGGTTTAGCATCACGCATGCTGGGGTGGGTGTGGAAATAATTTCGCGCCAAGGAGTGGTTTTTGTGTGGACATTCCGTGATCAATTGACACTGCGGTTAGTGTATAACGAGGCTTTCCACACTCCGGAGCAGATGGCAGAATTTTTACAAGACATCCAAGTGGAACTTTTGAAGCAATTAGGGGTGGCGGAGTAGAGAACTGTCGGATTTAAAGAGTCGTTGAGAATATGACTTTAGGGCTTGCACTCCAGATTTTCTTTAACTCATGTAATCCGCTTTGAGCCTCGTGGAAATTTCGAGTGCTTTAATATATTAGTTTGCTTTTTGTTTGCTTTTAGTCCAGTATGCCTATATATTTATGAGAAGGTAGACACGCAGCCAAGAATAAAAGCAGAACCGAGCGAAACATGCGCCTGCAATCTGTCAGGCAATATCCCGCTCCGAGACAGGTCGCGTTGCTTCGATTGTACTTTTAATGTGGTTTCTGTTCGGATTCCCTGAGTATTGGTCCATCGGGGCGGCCTCTCTATCTTCCTCGAAGGGATGAAACGATCGGTTGCCACTCAACAACTCCGATGCAGTTTGCTTGCTCCTAGATAATGACAATGCGCTGGTAGTGGGCTGCTTATTTTTGTTTCGCAGGCGGCGTGCTAGTTCCATAATATTAGGCAGGCATACGGACATGAGAGAAATCGGGCCTTCACACTGCACCCAACAGATATATCGGATGGTGCTCCATGTCAGATCCTCTTCCAAGGCAGAACCGCCCATCAGGAGAGTAATAAGACGACCAATGGACAAGATGACCACTCTGACGTGTGCCAATCCTGGTTAGCAAGTTCGTGATAGTTAGACAGCACCTAATGTGGTTGGGGAACTTACGAGTAACCGCAAATAAAGAGGCCAATTAGCATAGCCTTCTTCGCCTTGGACATGTGCAACGACCAGAGAAGTGGCAGCGGGATCAACAGGATAATCAAATCCAGTATTGCACTGGGGGCAGCAGTCCCGGTAAAGAATTTCCACTGCGTGAAGCATCTGGCGCCGGGAACAGCCTGCCAGGCGGCATTAATGGGCGTACACTGGAAGGTGGTCAACAACCCGGACCCGATCAGCCAGCAAACACAGAGGGCACCGACCGCCCACAGCGTAGGGATGACCCAGGTGGCTCCCCGTCTCAGCACTCGATAGTAGAAGCAAAGCACCGATAGTTTGGGCAATGTAATGCATAAATCGTATAAGTAGGCGGCGGCAAAAATAAGCTTAGGGCCCGCGAGTTGATTGCTGATGGGTAATGTGGCTGAATGACGACCCAACCCCAGAGAGATCCAGTAGAATGCAAGGGCGAATTCGGCGATAATGAAGGGCTATAAGACACAGGGTTACCTCACAATGCTCGGCACCAAGGCGAGGAGAGCCCCTATAGGGACCAGCACGTACCAATGTTAGGATGGCAAATGCATCATCGTAGCCAAACTTTCGATTGGGCGAGCCCCAGATAGACCAACAACGGAGGGCGATCGACACCACAGCTAATATGAGCATCAAGACACAAAGGGCAATGAGCCCCGACTGTCGGTTGCCATCAGACTCTGCGGAGGACATGTTACGACCGCTCTCTCGGTCCTGAAGCGAACTTGGCCTAATCATACATGGATGGGGGGCGTACGAACCTGAGAAGAAAGGAGAGGCGGAAACAGTAAGGCAATAAACAGTAAGGCAATGAAGGAGTTAATGTAAGGATAATTACTCACGAGCAATTTGGCCTGAGATGCAGGTCTGTACATAATTAAGACAAATACAAACACAATCCCTGCGGAGTATGTAGGACCATATTGATCTGTGCATCCGTTCAAACAAGAGTCGACGGCATTTGCGGCCTTGTCGAGTCTTTTCAGGTGTCTTATTTTAATACGCATTAGTTTCCAACATAAACGACGGAACAAGGGGCAAAAAAGCTTAACATACAACATGACTAGGGACATGCCACTATCTGTGAAACCCACACGGCTGATGGACTGGGCTGGCTTAGTCTACGGAGTATTTTGGGGGGCTGGGAACATCCACTATTTAATGTTACATCCATTGGTCTCGGTTTTGCGCTAGCAAACTAAGGAACGTCGCCCGCCCAATTGGATAGAACGGCGCGATCCACATGCCTGCGCGAGTATGTCTTGGCCTATTCACTTACTGCATCAAGCGCAGATATCACACCTCGCGACACGCCGGTGATCGAGGCCTATGGCCGCTATGGGAGAGTTGATTGCGATTGTGATTGACAAATGCTGCCTGGCAAAAACTTACCACCTTTACCACGGGAGAAATCCCAGGTTGTATATCTATAGCCTTTTTTTTCATTATGTAGTGACCGTCGGAATTTTGTTTCGGTAGAAAGTTATTGCGCTGGATTAAGGCACGTACTATATATATTAATATAGGTCCGCTATAGGCCGTACTCCATACGGAGTAATCTTGTGGGGCGTAAGCTCAGGGGGGCCGGGCCGGGCCCCCCCGTGCACCCGTCTCTTGCGGGCCGGCCCTGGGATCCACGGGTGCTTAGGTAGGTGCTTTCCACCTCCAGGGCTGGGCAAGGTATCACGATTAACTAATTGAAATATTGCGGTGTTTTTTTTTCGGTAGTTAGAATATTATATTTTTAGTCATATGCCCATTGCTCTACGCTAATTATAATGGGGCTCTTAAATGCATACATGTTAAATAACATAACTTGAAGACAATGGCATAAGAGGCTCCCCCCTAACATAACCACCTGGATTCCGACAAGACACTGCTGGTTCAAACACCACCATTATGCACTAGAATGGGGCACCCAGCATTGTCCCATGCACGCCAATGTGAACCAATCGCGATCGTGGGCATAGGTAGAAGCGCTACGTCGTCATCAAGTTTGGCGTGCTGACATTTGCATTAGGATGCTGATTACCAGGGAAAGCTTCACCATCCAGACTGTGGGAGTTGCTCGTCAGGACGAGGCGGGTCATTGCGTTGTTCTATCGGAGCGCTACAATACAAGGGCATATTATCACCCTGACGCCGAACGACCAGGAAAATATTAAAGTCCGGCTTGGTGGTATCATTCGCTAACTGTGCCCAACGTTTGAGTGTAATTATGTAATAGTACATTTGTGATGCACCCACCTGGGCACCCGCAGGGAAGTGTTTGCCCGCCTGTACCCCCTAAATCTGTTATCAACGGTTGACATCAAACTCAATGACCGGGCCATTATAGGCCTTTCTCCCACTGATCAAATACCATACGAGCCCAATAAGGAACTCGCCAGTGAAAACTACAATTGACCAGTTCATGTTCGCCAGTGTGACCGGCATCTCGGCAGGAAAGAAGGAGAAGAAGATAGCAATTGTTAAGAAACAAATTGAGGCAATATTGATAATAATGCTGAATTTGCCGAGCTTCCAGGGGCCATATGGAATTGGATCTCCTCTGATCTTCTTCATGAGAATGAGCACAATGGCGATTTCATAGGAACCGAACAAACCCGCGGTGGTCAGCGAGATGATGGCGTTGAATGCTGCCGTTGATCCAACGTTAATGATGCAGATACAGCCGGTAATGCATGCGCAGAGGCCGACAGCGCGGAGAGGGATGGCGGACCCGGAGCTGACCTATATGCATGGAATAAAATTAGTCACACCTCTCTACAGAGGCAAAGAAGGTGATAATCAGCCTTACGTGAGCAAGGAAATTCGAGAATGGCAATCCCTTGTCTCTGGCAAAGGCCCAGGTGAGACGCGAAGCGGAAGCCAGGAACCCAAACGACGCGCAAATAACCAATGCTATGGGAATGGCGGTCATCACAGATGTTCCCGCATGGGACTTGGTGGCCGCGTAGAATACTTCGATGAAGTCGTAGCCGGTGGCGCTGCTCAGGGCGTCATCCACATTTCCGATACAAAATAGGAAAGCGACGACGATGACGAACCCAAGCGTGCCATTTAACAGGATTGTGCCGATCATGCACCAGGGAACGATAATAGAAGCATTGATGACTTCTTCGGCTGTGGGGATCTGTGAGCTTACGATTCCTTCAATTACTGACTTTAATCTTACCCATATGGCAGGGGCCGTCATACCCTGCAAAAATTAGTTAGAAAAGGTCGTAATCGACGGGAGGATGGGTGTCACACCAATGAATGGGAGGTTCGTGCCCGCCAAGCCAATCAACCAGGTCAGACCTGCGTTGCTCCACCCTGAACTGTTTTCAAAGGTCCCAAAAACGAATGATGCATCTTTGTGAGGTGCAAGATAAACGAGAGGAATGAGAATGGCGAAAAATCCCGCGACATGAAAGATCAGAATCAGACCCTCGACCTGAGGAAGTAGCTTTGCCCCAATGGAGTTGACAACCACGCAAATAACCAATGCAGCGAACATCATCAAGGTTCCCTGCCAGCCCTCCAAAACATAATTTGGGTAATTCAAGACTACAAGGCCCTGGGTGACTGTGGCCGCAAAGTAGACACCAGCTGCAGTGTTGGCCCACCATCCAATCATGGCCATCCATCCCGTCACCCAGCTCAAAAATTTTGCCTGGCCCTTTGGGGCTAACATTGCCACCCAGTGGTATTGTCCGGAGGAGGTAGGGGCCCTGTTACCTGTTTAGCCTTGACTCTTATATTATTTGGGCGGGTTTCATACATTGAGGCCATCTCGGCCAACGAGGATGCAGTTACCAAAGCGCCAAACCAGCAAAATAAGAATCCATAGACGAGTGTCACTGGACCACCATCGTTCATTACAGTTAAATTAGCACTACGGTATATGGTTAGTTTGAGTCCAGTGAAGGTTGGGACAACTTAATCTCACAAAAGCACAGCTTCCCAAGTGCACATCATGGTTGTCGTGAATCCCAACATGGACAAGAATCCAAAGTTTCGCTGTTTGCGTTAACTGAGTCCACCCCAAGATCTTTTCTTCGGTGAAGCCATACCTGAAACTGTTGCTTCTTGCCCTGCTTTGCCATATCTTCGGCATCGCGATTCTTGTAGCTGCTGGAGCTCAACTCCTGGACCGCCATCTCCCCATTCTTGAACGGCATTTTGGGGTTATGTTGCAAAATTCGGCAAAGGTAGTCTATAAAAGGCAAACCTAGGATGAGTAGTCGGAATAGGGAAAGAGGAAGAAACTAAGAAACAAGCATTGAAGGATAAAAGACCGTGCTCAGCACTTGTCTGGTTATCGGACGTCCAGATAGATACTAGGAAATGTCGCTTAGCCCTTGGCAGATTTATCAGGTTCACTTCATGAATATGGGAACGCTTTTCCGGAATCCAGACCGCTCGTAGATCGGGTGCAATCAATCTTTACTCGAGACAAAAGCTAGTATGTAGAATCACCGACAAATTTTCACTATTCGTTGACACGCTCAACCTACGTATACACTATACACTAGCTCGGTCCTTTCGGTGTACTACTTACGCCACATGGATTTACTATAGTATTTCCGAATCAGCATCCCGTTGCCTTAATTAATTCAAAGCATATTGGCAGATCAGAACCATGCCCCGCTGCTGTGGGGCTGCATGTAACACTTCTAAGGCCCAATTGGGGGAGGGGGCGCAATTAGAAACATTATTGGTAGACTCGTACTCCGTAAAGTACGGAGTAGTCACGGAATCACTGTAAATCTGTAAATACAAAGTATTCCTAGTGCATATTTGCGCCTTTAATCTATATGCACAAAGTCGAAAGCTTGTGGACAAAATAACAACCCCGCTTTCACATCTGTTTATGTCTTCTCAACTTCCTACTTTAAGCATTGATATACCTTTTCGACACCTTTCCATCCTTGATTTAACATGGATTCTATCATTGACTGGTCCTTACGTCCAGTCTACTCGCCGGAGCAATTGAACCAGTACTTTAACCGGATTGGTCTCCCTCAAAAGTACCGGGAGTCACCGGTGGTCAAGTTCGGTGCAAGTGTCGACAATGAGGCCGCCCTAGCCTTTTTGAAAGTTTTACAACGCTACCAGGTGGCAGCGGTGCCTTTTGAAAATCTCAATCTGCATTATGCAGTCCGCCGCTACATTGACATTGATGCCCAGAAACTATTTGACAAGATAGTAAACCCCAAATCCCATCGAGGGGGCTACTGTATGGAGAATAGTACTCTTTTTGGGACCGTCCTCAGGACTATTGGATACAATGTCACGTCGGTCGGAGGTCGGGTAAATGAGGCGGTCCAGCCCATATCAGCCTCAAAGGACTGGAAAGGCCCAAAATACGATGGATGGTATGGTCATTCCTTCAAAATATATCTGAAACATACGGAATACTGAAAAATCAAACATAGGAACCACATGGTCAATATTGTTGCTTTCGGTGAACAAAAGTACCTGATAGATGTGGGTTTCGGCTCGAATGGGCCACATCAGCCACTTCCATTAATCAATGGGTTTGAGGCGCACAATGTCGGCGAGCAGTCTGCACGGCTCATTTATGGGCCTATCGCCCAGCACACGAGGGCTGGCCAATTCCTCTGGCAGTACGAGATCTGCAATGTGGGTGGAGCGTGGATTCCTGCCTATTGCTTCACTGAAACGGAATTCCTTCCGGAAGACTTTACGATCATCAACTACTATATGAGCACTTGTCCGGAGAGCTGGTTTCTTTTCCACGTGATGTGTATACGGATGATTCTGGACGATGAAGGTGAAAAGGTCATTGGTGACCTAACACTATTCGACAATACACTGAAGCGCCGCTTGGGGGCCACGTCGGAGGTCCTGGAATCCTTCGCCTCTGATGAGGAGCGTGTGGCTGTTCTGGAGAAATATTTTCACATCTCAATTTCAAAGGAAGATCAGGAAAGTATCCGCCAAACACCCTCAGAAATTCCGTAGTCTTGTCTATTTAACAACTTTGCAACCTCATCAATATAACCTGATCGGTTGTCCATATTTTCAATAGACAAGGAATTTAATTGATAGCTTATGTGTACTCCGTATAAATAAATCAGACCATACTAATCATTCTCTACACTCCATTCATATGAGCAACTCACTGGAGGATATGGAAATTGACAGGGGTACGGGGCCAATTTACGCACCCCGACGGGGAACGTGACGCCACGTGTGCACCAAAGCCATAGCCCACAATAGACCGCCAAAGCCCATCGCTATACATAGTCCAATATACCCCGTATTGGTATCACTATAGCCGAGATTAACCCAAGACATTTCGTTCTTGCAGGGCTAAGCATTTGCTTTAATCTTTCTGACGGATTCTACCCGACTCTTCCGGCTATGCCCATGAGGGATATATATCCATGTCCATTCAACCCTGTAATACGTGCTAGGATCTTATTACGGAGTCCAATACTCCGTACACCAATTACTCCTAAAGGTATACGGAGCTCGGAGTACAGAGTAGTGGCAATTAAGTTAAAACTCTGAAATTTTAGCAAAAAAGACAATGGCAAGATTCTTTGTAATGCTGTATGTATGGTTACCTATCTATGTAATAAATCTACCATCAAGGCAAATTTAGGCTAGCACCAAAGGTCACGCATGTCAAAGTTCTTGAATAAATGTATGGCCTGTCTATGTTGCTGCTTATACGGGTCTCATGATGAATATTGCGAACTATTTACAAACACGCTCCATCGACAGACGCCAGGGCTCGTCTACATTCGACCATGGAGATGAGGTCGCCATTGCGGTCTTGTACCTCTTGGTGATGATGATAATGGCTGTGCTGATCCGACTTGCCTTTCGATTCTTCATGCTTCGCTCATTGCAACGAGACGATGGGATAATTTCCCTTGCGCTGGTATACGTTCCCACTTGTGCCTTACGACACACCCCTTGACTAGATCATTGCCGTCCAGTCTCTAATGCCGGACTTTCAAAAAGGATAGATCTTCGGCATCGCCCAATCTGGTGTTATCTTTCAAGGGACAAAATATGGTATGGGGAAGCGTCAATCTGCCTTGTGTACGCAGCAAGTGATCGAAGTGGAAAAGGTGAACCATTCTTCCTGAATCAATCAATAATATTTACCAATGCCAACATCTTTCCTAGATCCTATATGTATCTGATCTCCTTTACGTTCTTGCCCATAGCCTCACGAAAGTCTCAGTCCTAGAATTCCTGCATAAATTGTGCGTTAATAAATCACACAAAAAAGTATGCTTTTGGACATCGATCATCGTTTTAGTCTGGACATTTCCAGTCTTCTTTACCTTGGCTTTCAAATGTGGAGCATCAAGACCATGGGAAATGGACAATGGTAGATGTATTGATACTGTGAGCATTGACCTTTAACCTCAGCGATCCAATTCATACTGACTGACAACCTGATTTCTATAGTTCAGGTTCTGGGCAGCTATATCCCCCGTCGACATTGCTACGGAGTTAATTATTTGCCTCCTCCCGATTTATATTATCAAGCCTGTTCAAGTTAGCTTTGGAAAGAAAGTCCCCGTCGTGGTCGCATTCGCGTACCGCCTAACGTACGTAAGTCTCTGAATTTATGGATTTCCAACTAAATGGGTGCCTAGTGTAATAATAGCGATCATCCTGCGCCTGGTTTTTATGCGAAATGCCCCCAATTCTACAGATATGACACAATCCGCCTTTGAGACCAGAATTACCACCCAATGCGCCCTATGCGTCACCCTCATTACAGCATGCATTCCGTGCTTAAAGCCTTTTCTCGACGCCTTCGATAGTGGAATGCTTGGCGTTGGTATGCGGAAGCGCACTGTTGGGAGCCATAATAACTTCTATAACAACTCATATGCGTTGGCGAGTATGAGCTGGGGAGCAAGGGAGGCTACATCGCGTTCTCGTTACTTGGAAGATGAGGTGGAGGGACTGGGAACGTCCGCCGCTGCTTTTGCTTTTACCCCTCCGGTCAAGCCACAGCAACTAGAAGAAATATGTCCTTCGATGGGAATCCAAAGGACGGACCAGTGGAGCATTAGGTGTGAGTATGTCGATACAAAGGCCAGGTCGCTCGGGGAGGGATTAGAGGAGTCGGAGACAAGCGGTAGCCAAGTTGAGCATTCATTGTGATGAGGACCACGCACATTTGTCTATCGCTGGTCTTTGGGTTTTCTTATGGCTTCAAAATTGCTTAAAATTAGAACACTGGACATGACCAACCATCATTAATAAGAGAACCTGTGGCCAATTCCTTCGACACAAAATCTGGGTGCAACTTGAAAAGCTTGACAAGAACAACATCCGGTTTTAAAAGAGGAGAGAAAAAAATAAAAGCAGAAGCATAGAATAGCATGTAGAAGGTGGCGGCCAACTAACGCCTACGCGCCTCGCTGCTCTATCTAGCGCACTGGGGATAGATATTCAGCCCATATAGTAAAAGGCATATTTCTCATTCTAATTGAAAAAGCTATCAACGCCCTTCTTTTCTACTCCGTTTTGTCTTTAGCCTCGCTTTATTAGCACCGCACACACTTTGTAGTCTACATGAGTGAATGATTGATAGTGAAGGTTGGTACGGGGTGAGCACATGCAAATGCTGGCTGTTGTATGTTTCTTTTTTTTTATATAAATTTGAGTTGCATAGAGAGTAGTCAGTATAAGAACCCTGAAAACGAAGTAAATGTGATATGGTGTCGCTAAAAACCACGGTTGAACTATCATTCTGTTTCGAGCGAACTTTTAGACACTCTCTTTAAATCACTTTTAAGAAGCCACTATTAAAATACTAACTTTTTGCTCAATGGCCCCATGGGGTCTCTACAAGGAGATCTCTATAATAGGACCCTTGTAGATGTGCCGGGCACGCACAATATAGTATATAATGGCAAGGAAGACGCTGCCTCCGATTGCCAGAATGCTCCAGTTCATGGTCTCCACCGTTGGGTTCATTGTACTTGGCCAGAAGCTGAAAAAGACGACGATGGTGACGTAGATAATCGCATACCCGTTGATCACAGTCCCAATGATGCCGGGGCAATGGAACGGTCCCCAGACAAGCTTCGCACCGGGCACGTTGACAATGTCATCCTCGTTGTCATTAAATCGGGAAATGTCGCCACGGATGCGGCGGTAAAACAAAAGAACGGAAACCGTGAGGTAAGAGAGGTAAATACCGGACACTGCCATGGATACAATGTCCTCCATGGCGGTATTGGAACCAATGTTAATAAGGGAAAGCAACACAGCGATGGTCACTGTAAGGATTATGGCGAAAATAGGTAACTGTTTCGTGGAAGAAACCTTGAAGGGCAAATGTTAGGCCATGCAAGGCTTCTAATTGATAGAGAAGTACTTACTTGACTCCACAATCGCCACCCGGGAACTCCCCTATCCCGAGAGAAAGACCAAAGCTGCCGAGAAGCCGCAGCCAGTAAACCCATGAGGGAACAGACATAAATAATGATAACGATAGCACACATGGTCAATGAACCAGGTACTGAGTTTGTTGCTTCCATGAATATACCCATGAAGTTATACCCTGTGGCTTTCCCCAGCGTACCACCAAGGTCGGCGTCGGTGCAGAACATCATAACAATGATCATACCGAAGCCGAGACAGCCGTTTATTCCGACACTAATCATAAGGGCGTTGGGAATAACCGTTGAGGCATTTGCGACCTCTTCAGACATCTATTCGGGTTAGAAGCATGTAGAGGAAACCGTAACCCGAAGGAAACTTACATGCACGGCAGCATCACCTCCAGCAAAGGCAAAGGCACAACTGGTCATACCCACGAACCAGGATAGACCTTGCGTGGCAAAGCCTCCTCCATTTTGGAAAGACAAAAAGACCTGCTCCTTTGTGTTATGATCCGCCATATAAGTGAGGGGGATTATTATGCCGAAGAATCCAAGAATATGCACAACCAGAATTACGGCCTCAATGCGGGGCAGCAAGTTGCCGCCGAGCAGGTTCACGGCCAATGCAAGACTGAGTGAACCCCAGACAATCAATGTTCCTTGCCAAGGCAGAGCATTGTAGAGGTTGTTCCCTAGGATCGCGGCACCCTGGATCATCTTTCCTGTCAAAAAGGCGCAAGCGGCGAAGGCACTCTGCCAGCCAAGCACAGCAAACCATCCTACGGGTTTAAGTATCAGCAACAATGAATAGCTCCAGTGGGTGGGTGCATGAAGCGAAAATGTACCTGTGATAAAACTCAGGAATTTTTGGAGTTTAGCTGGGGCAAGCATTGCAGCCCAGTGGTATTGACCTCCTGCGGTAGGCGCCCTATTTTATAGTTAGCTTTAAGCCTTAGGTTAATTGAGAATGAGCAACACACATGGAGGCCAATTCCGACAGGACCATGAAATTAGCAAAACAGCCAACCCATCCAAAGATGTAGGCATAGATCGCACCACCCGAGCCGCCACTATTACATGTTAGAGGATGTTGCAAGGCAAGTTGTTGACATGTGAACACACTTTGTAAGAGGGCCAGTGAAGGTGCTAGGCAACCGATTAGCGATGGATTACGTGAGAATTTGGAATTCGACGACTCACCCAAGAAGGCCTTCCCAAGTGCCGAGAATAGTACAGCTGAAACCGAGGATCGATAGAATGCCGAAGTTTCGCTGATTAAATAGACGTGTCAATATTCTAACCGGGTGTGTTTTGCCTCGAGTCATGCATTGCATACCTTAAGCACTGGCTTCTTTCCCATCCGCTGGAGATGCGCATTATCACGCTCCACCTGCCCAGCGCCCCTGCTGGTGACAGAAGTACTGCTCTTCATTTCATAGGCCACCATAGCTGGTTTTTGAAGGAATAGAATGGACACAAGTGGGAGGTAGATGTCAACGTAAATATGAGGAAAGCGACTGGGTTAAAAGTACAAGAATGTTCGGGAAAAAGTCCATTGGCCAATATCGGAATGCGGGTGGAAAGGTGTGCAATTTGATCAGATGCATGTATGTTACATCGACTAGACTTGAGAGTACATGAGTGGACGACGCTAATGCAATATGCTTGTTCCAATTTAATCTCAGACATGGTCTCCCCGACGGACGTTCCAAGGAGGCCCTAGGCCCACCACATGCGCTATGCGGCAATGTCCACAGTGTCGATCACACGCGGGAAGGATCCCCCAGGAAGCGCACCATACCCAATTACACCACGGCATGGATATTCTATGTGGGGCATATACCGGGCATGGCTACTCATAGGGCAACAAGCAATTGAGGGTTGAACTAATGCGAGGGGTCGGCCCCCGGGGGCCAGAATACGGGACCGAATCCTTTGAGTAAAGGGGGAGCTGAACGTGATAAAGGCTCGGTATTACCATGTCCTTTTACAATGATTATTGTCAGTTAAAAAAAAATTTAAAGAAAGAAACATCGCACCAAGTGAAGAAAGAAGTAGGAACAATGTCATTCAGAAAACAGACCGAACATATATAAAACATATAGAGATCGAGATTAGCGTCGCGCGAGAATTAGAAGAACACCCCTTCAGAGACCTTCGTATACATGGTGTTTATCTACTAATGGCTGCTGAGACGGGAGTTGCATTTTAGTCGCGCTATTCTGGGCACTGGACATCGAAGGCGTACACTACTAGGTCGCGCGGCGACATATTAAAAAGCATACGGCATTTTCTCTCAGCATCATTATACTCTTTAATAGTTCCCCTTCCTTCTTTTTTCTTCCTTTTCAAGTAACTCACCACCGTTTCACATATTTTGGCTCAATGGGCACACGATTCAAAGGTGACACCAAAGACCCGGCAGTTAATGTCACCACATGGGTTCTTTTGGTTACGATCATCTTTAGCGTCTCCGCTCGACTGGCAACGAAAATTCGGCTGTTCAAAAGGCTCACCACAGATGATCTTCTGATCATCGCATCCCTGGTCTTCGGCATCGGTCAGAGTATTGTTGTTTCACTCGCAGTTGGATCGGGTTACGGAAAGCATTCCAAAGATGTCTCAAGCACAGATATGGAACAGGTGATGAAAGTACGCATCTTCCGCTTTCTTGTGATCGGTTACTCGATCTTTTTCTTTTTGTGAAGCTAAGGCTAATTATGTGTCTATTGCCAGAACCTTTTCGCGGCGTCTCTGCTATACCTCTTAAGCCTTACCTTCTCAAAGCTATCTCTGGTCGTGTTTATTCGAGGTCTTACACCATCTGCCAAAGATAAATGGCTCGCCCGAGGTGTCGAGGTCATTGTATATGGCTGGATAGTTGTTACAATCTTTGGAACTGCATTCCAATGCTCTCTGCCTCATACTTGGGACTTCCAGAATGGTCGATGTTTTAACCTGGTAAGTGGTGTTTTGCTTTTGTCGCTATCACTTCCTACGCCCTTAATTCGGATAATACTAATGCAGTTTGACGGGTCCTGTTCAGTTAGCTTGGCGTTATTTTGTCGCTATCTCCAACATCGTTACCGACCTCTTGATTGTCACCCAAGCGATGATCCTGGTTTCTAGCATCCAAACGACCCTGGGGCGACGACTGGTTTTTGCAGGTATTTTCCTGCCTCGGCTCTTGTGGGTAACCCAGCTCTACGGAGTGATCTCCGTTATAGTTCCAAACTCAAAGCTCATCCTCTTTCCATCGATAGTGTGACGGTCGCAACGATCGTCGAGCTTGCCTTCATTAAGAAAGCCACGAAAACAAAGGACCCAATGTTTCAGATGTGTGAAATCACTATTTTCGAAGTGCTCATTCAGTGCCTTAGTATCGTGACGGCGTGCTGGGGACAACTGAATCCGTTCTTATCCTGGATGCGATCGAACGGACTCAAGCTCGATGGCGTGGAAGACCCAACCTCTTGGAGCTACAAGATGCGCTCACAATCACACGTGCAGTCTAAGTCGCGGGATCATAAAGTCAAGTTCGAGAGCCACCAAAATTTGGGTTTTCCGGTGCGAGACGATCAAATTTTGGTGACGCAGGATTGGGAGGTCGACAGTCAGTCGAGCCAGGCGCACATAATGGGAGATTCCGGGACACATCCATAGGTCAGGACCAGAAGTGGTCCAACTCCTAGTTGACAAATAAGAATAATAAGCTTCTCACATCCCGTGGGGATCCCGATATTGATATTGATAGTGTGTTTGTAATACTTTTTTTCTTCTACAGAGTAATTCCACTAGCAATATCGAGCGCATCGTATGATGAGACATGGGTTTCGGGGGCCAAAACATAACTCCTACAGGCCAAAATGGCTAGGCCTCTTATATGCGGCATTTTTGAATCTATCCCTGTCGATAGGCATATATTTTTAGGTAACCGCTGCAACACTGTTATCGGTTCTTCGAAAGTTTTTTGCACCCCTGCTCTACCCCTGCTCCTCGACCCGCCTATTGAAAACGCACGTCAAACCCTCCAACCATTATTGAGTGGGTTTTATTCCCACTCCGGGGCTATGTTTTACCGGGAAATAACCCCTCGGTCTTTCTTTATCAAATTTTATTAACCCGGCCTTGCCCTGGTGTGAGCTCCCTAGTCCATACTCTTCCGTTAGTCACTTGAACACATATTCAAACCAATTTCAATATGGGGACAGCAACAAATTCTCTCGTTTTAGAACTAGCAACACCGGAAGACGTTCCTGCCATCACCGAGGTATGGTTCGCTTCCTTCACACAGCCGATAATCGGGGAAATCTTCCCCAACACTCCTGGTATGCACCAATGGCATCGTGATTGGCACATGAAGGACATTCAAAACCCAAACTGCAGATATCTGAGAGTAGTTGATACCGAATCGAAAGATGAGCAAGGCCGACCGCGACTAGTTGCTTTTGGGAAATGGGACCTGGCCATGCCAGATGAGCGAGGTCGTCGCTTTCCAATTTGGCACGCAGACTCACCTTACCAGCAATGTGAGGATTTCATTGCGGAACTGGAGGAGTCGCGGAAACGCGTCATGGGTGACGAAAAGCATTACTGTATGAATGAACCTCCTTCAAAAATACATAAGGGAGGAAATTCTTACTGACATGCGGAACTGAAAAAAAGACCTGGATACACTAGGCACTCATCCCGATTACCAACGGCGCGGAGCTGGGTCTATGCTTGTCAAGTGGGGCTGCGACTTGGCGGATAAGGATGGTGTTGCGGCCTACGTGGATGCAAGCAAGGAGGGCGCACCGCTATATCAGAAACATGGATTCGTGGATTTCAATCCGCCCGACGCGGACGTGGCTGCGATGGCTCGCCCTAAGGCAACTCCGAGCGATCGCACTTAAATTGCGGAATGCACCCGACTATGCTTCCATGCCGCGACCTCTGTAATTGGAGAGAAGGGGGAAATAGATTTCACCTTACTGGCTCGGGTGGTAGCTGATATTTAGTGTTAAGTCTCGCAATGTGGCCTATTTTCTTAACAGGCTTGATGAAGCATTACAAGCGTCTCTCATATTACTTACCGTCTTCGAAGAATAACGCTCTTTTTCCCCGATCATCTAAAAATGAAGACAGTCTTGAATTTGGTATATGATTTTCTATGCGGCTCAAGTTCAGTCTGACAGCTTTCCGAGCCTATTCATGCATCTATCAGCGGAGTCTTGTGTCGACTTGGGAGGAGGAGCCGCTACGTCTGAATGCGTATCCATGATTAAGACCACCGTTCATTACAAAACTGTGTATCGTGCGCTCGCTGCTTCCCTCTAGAGATATAAAAGCATGGTACAGCTTCTCCTAGAAAGAGAGCGGACATCAATACGTAGGGCGGGAACTACGGCAATGCTTCCGGGGGTTGTCCGGCTTCCTAACTACCTACCACCCTATTGAACAATCCACCGAGAGCTTTCACATTGGATAACATTAAATGCAAAGCATAGAGCAGGTGAGCTATACTGCTAAATTCAATCCTTCGATTATGCATTATCGAGGACATAGAAGTGGAACCCTAGGAAGACAAGGTAAATTCAATTGGCAGAGCTGTTGAGCGATCCTATATACATATTCCGGTGTAGGTAATCTCGCAGCATCGGATCTAATGTCCCAGAACCATTGTTTCAACTTTAGCATCGTATTTGTGGTCTTTTTGCCACTTCTTCGAATACTTGACCCCAAATCCGCTGCTGAAAACTTCTCGAATAGCCTCCAACGGCATCCCTTTGCACTCAGGGTAAAACAAAACCACGAAAACCCAACCGAAAAAGCATATTCCGGCATAGAACCCAAAAGCACCACTTGGGGTCCAACTCTTCATCATGGAAAGGAAAGTCGATGAAATGATGATATTGGTGCTCCAGCATGTGACGGTGTTCTAGTCCGGTGGGTTAGCATGTGTATTAGGAACATGGAATGGGGGCAGACATACTATCATAGTTCCCATTGCTCGAACTTCGAGCGGAATTAGCTCAGTGCCAATCCATGCAATAGTTGCAACACCGGATGAATAGCAAGCGACGTAGCAAATAATCGCGACAAGGACCAGGGTACCTGGCCAGCCTACATTGTTACTTTCCACAACCAGTGTCTCAGTATCTATTGGGATATATCGGAACGCAATGACAGCGACGATCATGCAGATAGACATCCCAAGGACGGTGATTGTTAGAAGAGTACGACGGCCAAACTTATCCACAAGCACGAGATTGACAATCGAAAAGACAAAATTTGTAGCGGAGACTGTGATGCCGACGGCTGTGGAATTGCTGAATCCGACAATCGAAAATAGCGTTGCTGCATAGTACATTAGAGTGTTGAACCCTCCGAGTTGACTAATTGCCATGATCATGCAGGCGGTTAGAACTGCACGACCGGTGGAAGGTGTGGTGAAAATTCGCTTAAAAGTGACCCAAAGGGATTCTTTGCTCATCGCTTGTGTCACTTCTTGCAGGGATAGCTCAATTGATCTCATTTTCGCTTGCCGTTGCTCAACAGTCGACTTTGGGTATATCCTTAGAAGAACAGCGTCCGCTGCTTCATGCTTTCCATGAGCAACTAGCTGTCGAGGTGACTCTGGGCAGAAAAATAGTAACCCGGCGAGCGCAAGAGCTGGGGCAGATCCAATACCAACAGTCGCTCGCCAGCCTTCGCCTTTTACAGTAGCAAAGCCCGCACCCAGGGCGCTTGCAAGGAGTTGACCGAAGGTGACACTCATGTTGTTGAACGCAACCATGCGGCCGCGGTATTGTGCAGGCGCCAACTCGCCAACTGTAGATAGGTAAGCCCATTGAGACAGTCACTGGAGGGGAAGGAGACTTACTATAGAGAGGAACGACCATAGATACACTTCCTACTCCAAGCCCCACAACAAATCTTCCAGTCGCAAATTGGGCGACGGAAAAGGCGGATGTCTGGAGGATAGTTCCAATCACGAAGACCAGGCAGGCGCCCCAGATAGGCCAGCGACGACCAAATCGATCGGCAGTGAGACCAGCTCCTACCGCACCAACCAGGGCGCCACCGCTGGTGAGGGATGTTACCATTTCTTGTTCACTCGATGTAAGGATATGGCCGAGCGATGAACCGATTGTGACGAGAACGGCGGAGATGTAGCCCGTGTCGTAGCCTAGATATAGATCATTAGCCAATGCCCCCTCGCGCGTGGGCGGTTACATGAATAATATACCAAATAAGAGACCGCCGATGGAAACGACAATGGAGATCAACCAAGCTGTCTTGGAGGCAGCTGTTGCCTCAATGCCGCTGAGGTCGGACTGAACTTTCACATAGTCTTCAGGCTCAACATGCTCGATCTGCTCGACAGAATCTTTGGATATATCCTCCAAATGCTCTTCTTCGTTCTTCGGGCTCATGTTCGCTGTGAATGTTAGAGTGAGAAATTTCAAACAATAGTGGAGGCACTTCTGGAGATAGAAGATGTGGGAATCAACAGGAGGGTCTTTCACAGATCATTGGGGTGTTTTATACCCATATGCCAATCGACAATACAGCAATTCGGCTTACTGTGAGGGATTGCAGAGGGATCGACCTTTGACTGGAAAAGGCTATTTCCCCATGGGGGTGCATTTCCCCCACGGGGGGTGGGGGGTGCACGATGGTCTTCATTGGATTGACAGGGATACCACTTGCGGGGAACTGGGCGTAATTGGGAAGGGCGGTGGCAAAAACGAGATATTTGGAGGTGATCGCCAAGCGAACCCATCACTACAGCCGGGGAATACTTCCCCAACGAGAGGGGATTCTCGGCACTTGGTCCCATCGTCATATTCCCCGCCATTCCCCCGCTATTTCCAACAAAGTTTAAACATATCACCCGCACTCAGCCTAGCCGCTTGGGTGCTGGAAGCGTTGGTATTGGGCCTGTAGAATAATCATCTCAAGTACGGCCGCGGGGGCGGGAAGCCCCGTTTCCTACGCCAAAATCAGACATGACGTATGCAGTTACATGAGGATATATAACCCAATGTGAACCCACACTAGGAACAATAAAGTTTTGTTAAATGAGTGTATTCGTGTGAAAACTCCACAACTAAGGCCCAGATAACAGGAGTGTAAATACAATATCGCCCGAGTGGGTGAACTAAAAGAATGTCAACGGTCCCAAGGGATGTGGGTCACGTCTGTGAAACACATCACGTAGTATACAGCGGAAAGCCTTATTCCGGTATGTGTAGCTGTTGTCCGCCACAAGGTCTGCACCATTGTGTCTAGATGGCCACAACTTGGACATAGAAGCGAGTATCGTCGCTCTGGTACTTCTCATCACTCTCAATCTGCTGCTGAATCCATGCCACACCATCCATATAGTCTGTTGACAAAGTCAGCCGAGCGGTCCGTGAACTAGGGGATGATATCGGGCAAAACTCACTCTTGATGTCCTGGGTGCCCGGGTTGTTTACACCTGATTCTCCGTTGCGGTGACCACTAAACCAGGTCTCATACCCGTAGTGCTTCTCGCCGTCGTGACGAGCTTGGATGTCCTTCTTCAAATCCGAACTAGCGATCGAGCATTAGCCAAATATACCCCGGTCCATAACCCACGCTAACACATACTTGAGGATTGCACCGTTAGAGACCTCGTCGACACTTTGGCCGAGGAATTCAGATGCAGAGTTTCTCAGCATGAACCAATTCTGCTTGAAGATACCGAAGTTGGTGCCGTCGCCTGACTTTCCATCACCTAGGTATATATGTTAGCATTACTACTAGTTTCGCCGGCCGACATTGGGAAATACCGTAAGTGTAATCGGTGTTCATGTTATCGCTAGTACTGGTTAGCAGGGGTATCAGGTATAGCGACCAAACAAGTAAACTCACGTCTCCAGCATCGAAATAGCCAGGTCACGAGTGTTGCCACCAGCACCCACGATCTGCTGCTTGCGAGCTCCGAGCCCAGCAACGGTGTAGCTGCCTCGATCAGCTGCGATCACCGAAGACACGAAAGCCAAAGTCGAAAAAATGGAGAGGAGCTGCATCTTGCAAAAAGAGGGAAAGGATGAGTTGTTTGCTGGTTGGTTTAGTTGGTAGATTTGTGATGTTTCCAAAATTTCGAGATCAGCAGCTTCCTTTTATAATGGTGATTTGACATTTGTGGATGCGATGCGTAGTTTGACATCTGGAGCAATAGGAATGGTATGATTGAATTGCTTTCTCTCTCCCGCGTGAAAATTGGAAATGATCATCTTGTTTCAGGAGTTGCTTTGTAGTAAATTGGAGAGTTCATTTGCACTCTCTATGAACGTGGAAAATATATGGACACAACCCCATTTTTCTTCTTGTTTGCAGTGCGGATCTTTCTATATTAATCTGGATGTAGTTTCAGGTACTGCACTAGTCTCAAACCTTGGAAGTATAGCTTGAAGGAGATAGTGTTGCCTCGCAATTCAACAGGGAAGTAAAGAACAAGGGGACCCAGAGATGGATTTGAAGAGGATGTCTGTGAGACTACATATCTAACCGATACGGAAAAGATATAAGACGTTAGGTCAAATAGCTTGATACATGTACTATTCCGAATTGACGTTTTTAGAAGGTTCCAAGGTCAACAGGATCCACACTTGAGCGGAGTTTCTTCGGAACTACCTGTTTCGATCGGACTTCCGCCCACGGTAGGCTCAAATAGGCAACTTTATGTAATACAACACTAGGCATCCATGAATCCATCTAACTATGCCCAGGGTTTCAAAACTTGTGCCTAGAGTGTGTTACCCACATATGTAGATAGCATACATGTAAGAACGTTAATCTATATCTTCTAGGTCAATATGTATGCCCTCTTTTATATGTGACATAGCAATAAAAGACTTAAATGAACGAAAAACGGGGAATTTCAACAGAGCAATTCTAACTGTTTACTCCTTTGCACCATTCTCATTTTTTTGCACCCACAGTGGGGTCAGTATCGTTAGTGATACCATACAACGCAATTTTTATTTCTTTTTGATCTAAAGCTGTCTGAAACAGGGAGGGCCCAAAAAGGGAGATATATACGTACATACACCCAAACTATGGAGCTGGCACCAAGTTTAGCAGCCACTGGATATCTGTTGAAGGGAATCACATGAAGTTGCATGGGATAGCAATGCTTGGGTTATACTGAGGCGCGCGCTCCTCTTTGGTACATTGAGAAGATTCAACAAGGTCAGCCGGGGTATGCTTTGTTTTGTAAGGATTTGACCATAAAAATCCCAAAGAGGGCAGTTTCAATGATTTGATTTTAACGGCATTGTCTAGCTGGGAAGGGGTTGGCGATCAGTTCTCAGGGGATTAAACGGGTCAGCTGCGGCAACTGGTGGCAGAAGCTGGATTATTCGGCGCTGACTATAGCCCTGCGGCTCGTGGTTGAAGGGGGTTAGTAAAACAACCACAGTACCTAGGTAACCATGGTAGTGAGATCGCAAATATGTTTAATAGGCGAGGAGCTTTGATGATGTATAGTCAAGTCATATTAAATGGTGTAAAGGAGCGATTATATGTTCAATGGTAGATGTATATGCAGAATTTATGAATATATATTTTAACATGCGCACTTTGGATTCTCAAAAATCATCAGTAAACGTATAACTACCACTCGAACTACTATATTAAAATACACCACAATAATGAGATAAATTATATCTAATTCATTATACCATTATATGTAAACAAATATATGTTGAAGTATTGGTGATATATAGATATCAGATGCAGTTTAGTATGGTAAGTTTGAACCAAAAAGCCGAATACCTGACCTACCCGACGGAGGTCACCGTGGCCGAGTTTAGTGCGGGTACCCAGCATACCTCCTAACCCCTGCCAACTAACCCGGGGATGGGGCCAGGGGATGGGATGTTCCCCTTGGGACCGATTGGACCTTCCAACGTTAGGTTATTGTTCTGACATACTTAACAATTTGTGTAAGGGCTTATTAAAGACTACAACCACTGGCAACCTTGCCATCAAAGTTAACTAAATTGGGCTTAGAACACCAATCACGGAGTCAATTATATCATATGTTGTTCTTGTTGTTCTTGTTCTTGTTGTTGTATTAATCATGGTCCATCGGGGATTCTATCATTTCACAAGTACGAAATGGCATCAAGGATCAGATTTATTGAAGACATCAGGCGGTAGGAGAGTCGTGGTGCCGATTACTACTACTGTCGCAAACAAATTAATGGAAAATTCGTGCAACGACCAATCTGCGAGAGCGTTGGATGAATATTCCTGGATATATATTGTCTATTGTAGGAGGGGGAATTAGCCCCGAGGAAAATACTGCGTCTCAATTTGAGGGCCGTTTTGAACTTTGCTCGACTAGACTTGCAAAAAAGATCCAATAGTTGAATCGACTTCCTAGTATTTGAAGAAGCCCTCAAGACCAGGCGTAAGAGGCTCAAATTGCCCAGTTGGCAGGCATGCGTCGAGTCATGTTCACAACCCTTGGACTGTTCATGTACAATTTTAAGATCTCAAGGGCATAATTCTTCCGAGTTGTTATCTTTAGTTGATGACGTTTAAATGCTCAGACTGGAGCAAGGTCTATATTTTGGCAAAGAGGTGTGAACTGGACACTATAAAACAGATATATCAAAGGACGGAGTTCTTCGGAAGCACCTGTTTTGATCGGACCTCCGCCCATTGTCCGCTCAAATAGGCAATTTGACGGAATGGAGGAGGCCACAGCGTGACATTTTCGGCCGATCTACATCGCAGGTGGGGTAGGAGGTATTAGCGGGGGTCCAACAACCTCTAAAGATATCGTATCGAGAAGACTATGATTATGTGCTGTTCAGCATGTTTTCTCCTCTGCAAATTTACAGCTGAAGTGTTTGATCTGGGCAAAAAAAGGACCCAGTTGCGTTCAAGCGCCCACTGCCGATATAAATTGGCCCATTCCACTGTCTCAGAAATTCCTCCCAACTGAATCCGCTGTGAAACACCAACAAGAAACTTATCTTATACTTGAACCACAAATATGGCTTTTTTCAAACAAGCTCTGTCCACGGAATGGACATTCAAGGACCGAGACGATGAGACAGTGGATGCATGGATGCCCGTGCAAGCAATCCCTTCCACTGTGCAGCAGGACCTGATTGCAAACAAAAAGTTGGGGACCCCAGCACCACACAATCTTGGAATATGACATCGACTGACGTTTCTTTATTATGTAGGCTCGAGGATCCCCACCTAGGCCTTAATGAACTCAAGGCGCGCTGGGTCAACAAAAAGGCATGGGTGTATCGACACACTTTTCAGCGACCGGAAGTCCCTGCTGGCGCAACCGTGGCGCTGGTGTTCGACGGCCTGGACACTTTTGCCTCTGTCAAACTCAATGGCAAGACAATCCTCGAGTCTAGCAATATGTTCCTAGGCTACCGTGTGGACATAACAGAAGCTCTGGGGTCACCCGACAATACAAACGTTCTAGAGATCGAATTCGATTGCGCCGAGACCAAAGCGACCGAGCTACGCAAAAAGGACCCGGATCATAAATGGGTCGGCCTTTTCGGAGATCCGGCGCGCTTGGGTGTGCGTAAGGCTCAATACCATTGGGGCTGGGATTGGGGACCGGTCATCATGACAGCTGGTATCTGGCGTGAAGTGCGGTTGGAAGTCTACTCTGCACGAGTAGAGGATCTATGGCCGCAGACAAGCCTCGCTCCTGACCATAAAACTGCCACTGTAACGGCAATTGCGAAAATCGATGCGGTTAGCTCGGAACGCCATATCGCTCGCTTCCATTTGACTCTACGTGGACACGAAATCGCGAGCCAGGATATCCCTGTTAGCGACGATGAAAGTGCTCAAGCCATTTTTGAAGTCGACAATCCCGAATTATGGTGGCCACATGGCTATGGCTCTCAGGCCTTGTACGAAGTGTCTGTGTCACTCTTACGCGATGGTAACGAGCTACACAATGTGTCTAAGAAATTCGGCATTCGGTCTGCAGAAGTCATTCAGCAACCGGATAAGCATGGGAAGTCATTCTTTTTCCGAATTAACGGAATAGACATTTTCTGTGGAGGCTCCTGCTGGATCCCTGCCGATAACCTCCTTCCTAGTGTCAGCGCAGAGCGATACCGGAAATGGATCGAGTTAATGGTGGCGGGTGGCCAGATGATGACTAGGTATGTGTTAGGCCAGAACATACCTATTAGAGGGCAGCTAATAATATTTTGAAACAGAGTGTGGGGCGGCGGAATCTACGAAGACGATGCTTTCTATGACGCTTGCGATGAGCTTGGCGTGCTAGTATGGCAGGACTTTATGTTCGGTTGCGGCAACTACCCAGTGTGGCCTGAGCTATTAGAGTCTGTACGACAAGAGACAGTCTTCAACATTCGCCGATTGAGGCACCGTCCTTCAATAGTGATCTACGTTGGCAACAATGAAGATTACCAAGTCCAGGAGGAGAAGGGATTAACTTACAACTACGAAGATAAGGACCCGGACAGCTGGTTAAAGTCTGACTTCCCGGCCCGCTACATCTACGAAAAGCTCCTACCAGAAGTCGTATCTGAGTACTCGCCGAGTACTTTCTACCATCCGGGAAGTCCATGGGGTGATGGAAAAGTCTCAAGCGACCCTACTGTGGGAGATATACATCAATGGAATGGTAGGCCAATTCGATCCCCGCAGAGAATTCCAATGGGATTTCTAATTGAAAATTGTGACTGACGGCTCTATAGTGTGGCATGGAACGCAGGAGAAATATCAGATCTTTGACACTATGGGAGGCCGCTTTAACAGCGAGTTTGGGATGATAGGCTTCCCGCATATGTCGACGATCGAGTACTTCCTAGAAAACGAGAAAGACAAGCACCCGCAGTCCCAAGTCATGGACTTCCATAATAAGGCCGATGGCCACGAGAGGCGATTGGCGACATACCTAGTGGAGAACCTACGCTTGTCTACTGATCTGGAGGTACGTTGTTTATCGCGGTCGTCCGAAGTATAGAAGAAGAAGAAATTACTCACACTATACTTAGACATATATCTACCTCACACAGGTAATCCAGGCAGAGACGATGATGTTCGGATACCGTGGATGGCGCCGCCAATGGGGTGATGATCGAAAATGTGGTGGAGCGCTTCTGTGGCAGTTGAATGACTGCTGGCCCACGATCTCGTGGGCAATTGTGGACTACTTCCTACAGCCCAAACCCGCATATTACACAGTTAAGCGAGTGATGCAGCCCATAACGGTCGGCGTACAACGCGCACACCATGACTGGAGTGTGGTGCACGCAGAACCAGCCAAACAGAGCCCCTACCAGGTGTGGGTTGCTAGTAACCGACAGGCCATGGTGAAGGGAACTGTCGAGCTACGATTCTTATCAGTGGAGACTGGCAAGGACCTTAGCGCGCCAGTGGTCTTTGAAAACGTTAACATTGCAGCCAATGGTACCACCGACATCACAAATGGGATCATTGACCATGTCGCCGAGCCCGAGCCACACGTTCTGGCTGCACGGCTATGGATAGATGGCCAGATTGTGTCCAGGGACGTTGACTGGCCACAGCCGCTCAAGTACCTCGATTTTCCTGATCGCGGACTGAAAGTGAGCCCACAACCAGGAGCTTCGGCCGGAAAGCAAATCCTAGTAATCAGCTCACAGAAGCCGGTGAAATGTCTTGTCTTCGAAGAGCGGGCGAATGTGCGGGTCAGCGACAGCGCTATAGATATTGTTCCGGGTGATGAGCAGGTGGTGGAGATTACGGGGCTAAGTGACAGTGACCAACCGTTAGGTTATCGTTATTTGGGCCAGTAGACTTTTTTTCAACCATTTTAAGAAACAAGTGCTGTGATACAATGGAAGTTTCTAGTTTTCTAGTTGTGAGATGGATACGGTTTGAACAAAGAGGAATCTTGTAGGAGTATTTCACCAGTGGGAAGAATTGTGATGTTAATTACTCAAGTGTACTATGAGAGAAAAATGGCCTCTGACCTCACACGGCAAGTCTACAGAATGCATCTATACCTTGTGATGGTCTTGACAGGTGACTGGTCTGATTTTGACTTAGGAGAATAACGCCCTTATGCCCTAAACGGGAACCGAGGTGGCAAAATAGCCCGCATCTTTTGCCACAACCGTTAATGGGCTTGTTAAGTGCAACGCTTGTTAAGCTGTCTACCCCAAGCCGAAAGTATCTCTTTTTTTTACGTGCATAACCTGTTCCCAAATATTTCTACAAGTAAATAGCCGAGATAGTAAAAGACTCTAATCACATGGCATTTGACTCCACATCTGCAAACCCGCAAACCCGCAAACCCGCAAAAGTCGTTTTCACGGAGACGTCCGCAATATTGGGGCCGAAATAGCCGTCAATCCGGGGAAGTAAAGGCGGAGTATTACCTTTTTAGTCGAGGAGTAGGCGGAGGAAGCCGAGCCATTTTCGGCAGAGCACGAGTTACCCCGGTTTTCTACGTAGCGATCGGCTTCGATCACTCGTTCGGGGTAATTCATATCCCCACCGAGGAGCCGAAAGGCCTCTTGTGATTGGATACACGGAGGGCAAGGAATTTGACCAGAATCCGTTTCAGCTAAGGACATCCGAGACATTCACACACGTACCACTCACTTCATATGATATGCTGACAAGGGAGATAAAAGTATCTCCCCGTCACGACAATAAATATCATGCCACAGCCATCTTTTCCCCCATGAATTGAGTCATTATTTTCACGGATCACATCCGGCGTGGAGAACACGACCTTTTCATCATGACAGATAATACATATCCAGATCAATTAGTCGAGAAAGAGGGTGCTACCGACGCTATGCATCAGGAGCACAAGGAGGGCGTCAAGGTTGAGACTGTTCAAGGCTCACTGGCTCTCGACATTGCCAGGCGGACGAACCCCCTAACCCCTGGAGCGTTCAGATGAGAAAGCTATATTTATTTTTGACTGTGGCATACCTTTGCTCGGCCGTAAACGGTACGACAAAGAAAATTGATACCCGATGAAAAATTTTCACTAACTAGTTCAGGATTTGATGGCTCCCTGATGGGTGCTCTGCTCCCCATACACCAGTTCCGTGAAACTTTTGGTTCCGGTTTGGTCGGTTCCAAAGCCTCCTTAATTCAGGGAATGTACACCATTGGAGGTGTCTCCGCGCTGCCGTTCGTCGGAGTGTTCCTAGATACTTGGGGCCGACGGTGCGGCATGTTTACTGGATCCTGTGCTGTTATCCTGGGTACAATTATCGGCGGTACTGCCAACCACATGGATCAATTGCTCGCCAGTAGATTCTTCCTTGGTACGTGTCTAACACCTTTGCCCCATTCTGGATGACATTGTTAACATCTCTCAGGGTGGGGATATTCCCTGGCCTCCGCTGCCGCACCCGCCTACGTCGTCGAGATGAGCCATCCTGCCTACCGTGATGTTCTGACCGGTTTATACAATTGCCAGTACTTCGTCGGCGCTATTGCCGCGGCTGGTGCTTGTCGTGGATGTCTGAGATTTGAGAGTTCGCTCGCGTGGCGCATCCCCATTTGGTGTCAGTTGATTTCATCCAGCATTGTGGTGTTGACTGTTTGGTTTATACCCGAATCACCTCGATGGCTCTACAGCCATGGACGCCGCGAGGAAGCCTGGGATGTTATCACCAAATATCACGGCGAGGGTGTCCGGGATAATGCCTATGTTCATCTACAGGTCCGGGAATACGAAGAGGCGATCAACCTGGAAGGTTCGGATAAGAACTCTTGGGACTTTAGAGGTCTCATTAACACAAAGGCCGCGAGATGGCGCCTCATGTGTGTGGCTATCGCATCTTTTATGAGTCAGTGGGCCCAGGCTGGTGTCACGACCTACTACATTGGTGGGCTTTTAGCCACAGCCGGTATCACTGATACAACGCGAGTGCTGGACGTCAATCTTGGCAACACAGTTCTTTCTGCTGGATTAGCCTATCTGGGAAGTTATTTGGGCCCAAAATTCCGACGCAGACCTATGATGATTGGCGCGTCTATTGCTTGCAGTGTACGTATAAACGTCCCGCGTGGTTCTTCTTTTTATCAATGTGCTACGCTAACGGCTCCACTATACAGATCTGCTTTGCTTGCTTCGCAGCCACAACCGGAGTGTACACAAAAACAGAGGATACAGGAGCCGCCACAGCTTCTATTGTGTTTATCTTCTTGATCGGCGCTTGTTTCAGCTTCGGCTGGACCCCATTGCAAGCCATGTACGCCGTCGAATGTCTTTCATACGAGACTCGTGCTAAGGGTATGGCGATGTACTCTGTCTTCACCAATATTGCCTTGCTGGTGAATCAGTTCGGAGTCGGCAATGCTATCGATGTTATTGGCTGGCACACTTATATCATCTTGGCCGGCTGGAATATCGTCCAGGGAGTGTTTATCTACTTCTTCGCTGTCGAAACGAACAATCGGACCCTCGAAGAACTCTCAGAGATCTTTGACGCGCCCAACCCTCGGAAGAAGAGTACGGAATCACGGCAGGTCTTGGTTTCAGAGACTGCGAACCAGGTGGTCGAAGTCAAGGGTGCATAGGTTATTCAACTCAGTCTGTGCCAGTGTTCTTTAATTGTCACGAATATTCTACCATGTTTGTTATGGAAATGCCCAATGTTTTGCTCATATTTGGAAATAGGACATGATTATATGGATGAGAGACTTGGGATAGGTGGATCGCTCTTTTCTTATGAAACTAATTGTTGATATTGCCGTGGTTTCTCTCGCCCTTATAAAGTAACAGAACGAAAATAGATATAAAATATTGTTAATAAGAGGCACCAAACTATCTACCTACATGTCCTATATAAAAAGTATCACTTCGACTATACAATCAATGCCTGGATCCATGACTTGGTCTCTGGATCAGAGATACTAGATCCCACATTCGGTAACGGTGTAGCCGTGTAGCCATTTACCCCATAAGCAGATACATACTCCATAAGGCAGAAACCCCAATTTATCAAAAAGTGGACCACCGTTGTCACCACTACAAGCGGAGGCACCGAGACTCAGTGCATCCGCCTGAATACACATCATGTTCTTTGTAATCGTGCTGTCATGACACCAGTCAGAACCGCATGTCGACCGGTTGACTGTAAGAATATTCGCTTGGTGTAAGGTAGTTCGCACGGTTTTATCGGATGAAGCAAGCCTGCAACTTGTACAGGAAGACCACTTGTCTCGGCTGGGGTGATTGCATCGCCAGGCAATGAAATTGCAATGACACCTTCACCCAGGGCATCATCGGTCAAGTGTAAAATAGCATAGTTGTGGTCGGAGGTACTAGAGCTGTAATTAACGCATTTGAAGATTTTTCGACATGCAGCAGTTTTCCACCAGTAGTATGGTCTGCGCTCCCAACACGGACGGTGAGAGATGCGGCGGTACTGCCCTCGACACAGTGCACGGCAGTGAGAATCATCTTTGGGCCCACGACGGTGCCAATGAATATCACGGAGTTTCCGAACTAGTTGTTACGGACGAGGACGGCGCTGAAAGGGCATTCGAGACTGGTGGCTTCAGTACCGTGAACTATGGCGGTGACGAGAGGGTTGAAAATAACCCAAAATTGGGGCAAGAAACATGAAGGAACGCATGTCGGAAAGTTGAAGGGAGCAGAACAAAAAGGGGAAAGGATTTATGGGATTTCAGGTATGTGCAGAGTCAAGGGCTGTCGATAGGGGTGTAGTTATCTATAGAATTCCTTAGATGGAACAACATTGAAGCTCAAGGCCCACTTCCAACATTCCCCACAATCACGACCAATTATGTACAATAGTTGGTGCCTTGGGTGTATAAATCCAAATAAGGAAGTTTCTTATCGCCGTTCTTCGGCAGGTTGACATCGAAGTCATCCATAAATAGTTTTACATACGAATGCATGTACTCTGTAGTAAAATGGCGGTTCGACATGTGTCGATCAACACTCCGACGATCCTCTGACGATCATCAGAGCACATGGGAGAACGGGATCTACCAAGGAATTTTCTCATGTGGGTCAAAAATTGATTGGCTCTAGTCACCTGCAGGACGAGGTTAATCTGAGACATGTGCTCTCATTACGTAGGCCTTTCGACCTTCGAAAAATTAATAGGCCTGCCGATCAGACTATGTACGAAGTCTAGATCATGGCGCGGTGCATGAAAAATGAACTAGTGGGTACGGAATGACCGAAGAGCCAAGGTTTCTAGTCCGTATTTCATTATGATAGAGCCAGATACGGATTATGGTACTCCGTGTATAGATATGTGTTACGATGCAGACAAGATTGGTATCATTTATGCGATAAATTATAAACATAGGAGGCAATGCGACAACAATCTCACGTATTTCCTGCAGGGGAATGAGAATTCAGGAAAGGCATTGACGCATCTTCATTCTGAGCATTGAGGTCAAAAATCTCAGGCCAGAGGTTGCTGTGGTCCCAACTCAAGTACTCCCACATGTACTGAGACGAAAGTGTCTCAAAGGATGTCGCAGTCCAATCTGAAACACGATCCCGAGCCACCTGTTGGCCGGTGTTAAAAACATTCGGAGGAGGGAAATTTTGGGGGTCGAGACTGTCTCCACTTGCATCAAGTGGCGCTGCCCTCGGAGCATGAAGATTACAATCCAGAATGCCCGAAATTACCTCAAGGGTGCGTCCCGCGGTGTGCCCGTAAGGTTTCATGCGGCCAAGGGTCAACATGGCCGTTTCAACCTGCGCCTTGCAGGTTTCGAAGGAAGCAGCGGAATCGTGGTCTGCGACGCCGGCGGACAGACAAATTAGTGGAACCATAGTAGCTTGGAATAACATCCAAACAGCGTTCCAGCCGATCATTTGATTTAATCGGGTTGTTGAGGAGATGTCTTGGATGGAAATCGCTGCGATTTCCTGGCATTTCTGGATAGCAGTGCGTTCTTCAACCCGGATAGCCATGAACGGAACTCGTCGCATTGCGTAGTTGAGTAGAGTTGGGCGATAAAGTAGCATGCGATGATTGTAGAATCGCCACCGCATCACGGTACGCACTGCATATAGTGATTCGGGACATGGTTCGTAATCTTTAAGGACTGGTGGCAGATCATGCCACCACCGAACAAGCTGCGAGTCCAGATCGAACATCTCCTTGTGTGACAGGGTTGGTAGCGCAGCTAATGACTCTTGAATCTTTAACGCAATTTTCACAAATTGGACATTTTCCGTCAAGGGGAGGACCTCGAAATATGATTCCTGTCAAGAGTCAATTTAAGAAGAGAACCTGGAATGAACCACCCCAGGGGAAAAGAAATTAGGGTCAGGGGATGTGCACCTTGTCAAGTCGACTAGGCAAGTTGACTGTGATGCTCGGGCCAAAGTAATCCATACTTGGCCGGCCGAGCGTTTCGTGGCCCCAGGTCTCCAAACAGCAAAGTGACCACCAGACGCGACGTTTAAATTCCTGGATTCCGGACTTCTTAGGATCGAGTATCGAATGAATATCCGAAGGTTCCCGCTGCAGGCCTAATGTAACCGCCATCCGCAGTGACGCGCCCATGAGGGAGTATGCGAGATTCGGCTGGCTGGTATAGTGACAGTACCAGCCACCCATGAGTCCTAGAGCCTGAACGACTTCAAGGCTTGGATTCCCGAGTGAACGTAGATTTAGGTGATTCATTGAACGCTCAAAGTACACATGATGGGTATTGTTATCTGCGCCTGCGGCTGTAATATTTCCCAACGCGAGAACTATGTTGAGTAGTGCAAGCCATCGATCATCCTTCCGACGGCCAAGTAAGTAAGTTGTGCGAAAGGCTTCCTCGTCTATGAGTGGCGCAAAGGGCTGGAAGTTGATAAAGTATGCATCTAGCATTTGATGCTCCGTGGGTGGGGGGTCAGGTTGAGCCGTCGCTTGCGACCGGGGTAGCGAGTTGGTTGGCTGTGGTCCTTGGTCTTTACATAAGGACTGAGCAAAATATGAGTTAACTGCTGGATGAAGCCATGCAATAACCTTCAATGCGGCCTGAATAGACGAAACGCCTAGATAGGATGTTGGGTGCCGAGCCGAGAGTGATAAGGCGTTGACGTCGTCTGAGATATGTCCGACTGATTCCGAGGTACTGGGGCAGTGAATTTCATCAAGTTGCTCTGCGGGTATTGTATGTAGTGACTCCAGACCAGGCATTTCTCCCGACATTGCAGAGTCGTGAGTGTCGAGGGACGCGGCCGCAATCGACGAGTCTTGGTGCTGAGAATATTGGGACCCGCCGCCTGCGGTCATCAAATCTAACAATTTGTCCCTAGAAAAATGGGCGATGTTCTCAGGGGCCGTGTCCGGAAAAAGCCTTTCAAGTGTGCTTTTGTAGTCGGGCGAGGGTATTGTCAATTTCTCCGACTGGCTAATTTGATCAGTTTTGTCGTCCAACCTCGTGGGTTTTATGTATTCAATTTTCTTGTTTACCTTTGCGAGGCTCGGGGTCCTGTGTAGCCACACAGCTCCGGCTTCTTGTACCATCGACAGGCTTCACAGGGCTTCTCGCCATCGCATTTAATTTTGCGACGACGACACGAAGTGCAGGCTCGCGGTGTGGATCCTCGCCGACTCAGTCGTTCACTCCGCCTTTTATGCTTGGGGTTCCGCAAACCCTCTTCGCCGTCCTGAGCCTTGAACGCGATAAACATGATATAAAATGTACACTGTACAATGTACAATGTACAATCAGATGCGGGGTAAGAATTCGACGTGCCTGAAAAAAAGATGGATGCAAAAGATAAAAGAGGACATGTGGGGAGGGATAGAAAGGGTCTAGTCCGCGGGTTTTCTCGGCCCCCGTTTTGTCAAAACCATCGTTGGATCCCATGGAATATGCAGGTGAGAACCTTGGAACAGCCAATGCGGGGGATTCGGCTTGTCTAAGGGGTAGCTTCAATGTGTTTTTTACAACGGTACAGTGTACTCCGTACTCCATATACATAATGTTAACTATTCATAGGTGATTCACAGGTGATGCCCACTCAACTCACTGATCATCTCACGACTATCCAATGAATACCCATGTGTCATCCGCCCCCTATTTCCACTTTTTACAATTCATCTGTAACAACTTCGAGGTATAAAATATAACACCGGGATTTCTCCGACAGTCCCAAGGTTTGTTCAGGCGTGTCCACCTGTCCGTTTGGGATTTGAGACACGGAGACTAAGCCTATTTTGGTAAGAAACAGGCGGAGCTCGTGACTTCGCTTACAACTTTGTATAATCCTATAATCCTATAATCCTATATCGATAATTCAGGTAGGCCTGGTTTCACGTGCTCGGTGGCATGTTTCTGCTCTTGCTTACTTCCTACAACTATGGCCTGATCAGAGGATATGGAAGAAGGATAGACGCACAATCGCCTATGGCGTTGACTATCAAAGCTTTGCTTATATTAGAGAGCAGTTCTCAATCTGTAACTTCTTTGAATGGTCACCCCAGATCTGCACGTACTAGGATAGAGCTCAGATTCCCCAGATTGAACCAATCCCGCAACTCCACTTGCCCCGGATCAGAATTTCTTGGAAGGATTCCAAGCTTCCTGATTCGCCTTGGAAAGTTGCACTAATGCTAAAGCATGCTCGGGGAAACCCGTGAGGGGCGGAGACAAACTATGAGCATTGGACGCCGGGTTTCCCCACCCCTCCGGCATTTCAAGGTTGGTACATATGTCCGAACCAAGAGCGTTACCTAGAACGAAAGCAATAAACGAGATGGTATCCCCAGGATAATGTGTACCTTGAAAGCGGGGCCAAATACATTGTTTCTCGTCTGATAACCCCGTGCCAATCGGTGAATAGTTAGCGCCTTCGGGTATTTTTGCCCTGATTCTTTCACCATCGACCTGGTCCAAAGTAAAGCAGGTGCCATTTGCATGTGGAGCATTCTCGAGGAATGAAACGGTGGGAATGCTGAGCTTGGAACTAATTGCCGGGCACTATGTGGGTTCTCCTTTACCACGTTGTATGAATGTCGAAATAGTGTTGGAGTTTCCAATTCACACGATTGGGTATCATGTTCCTAGTAGACACTGTCGTACTTCTGGCTGTTGGATGGTAGTAAATATTTGTTTGCAGAACGAAAAGAAAAAGAAAAAGAAAAAGAAAAAGAAACAAAGGTCATATCTGGGGAAAATGTTCTAGTATATTCTTATTCTTTTTTAAAGACATGCCCTGGTTGAACAGTCAGAAGCCGGTCTCTATAGTACCTGATAATGATGGAAAAAATAGTACAAAAAGTAAATATGCAACAACATACAGCCAAACGTATGGCGGTGGTTACCCGGAACACGAACACATCGTGTTCGCTGAACTGGTGTTTCCTTCTGCCATTCGCCTAACCTGGTGAATGTGTCCTCACCCGGACTGCGCAACTTTACCCTTGACCCACGCCTCTAGGCCACCTTCCGCAATGATCTCCTGTACATTCGCTGGCAGCTCGCCAACCTGCTCGGTCCAGCTCTCTCCTGTCTCACCCTCCTTCACCTCAACAACAGAACGCTTCACGTCCCACGTCAAAGTCCAGCCTGTACGGCGCGTCAGCTGGCGGGACTTGACATCACCAGAGGATGGCTGAGCAAAGGTAGCACGCA